AATAATAAATTGATGTTTGTTAAGCAATGCCCAATACAAGTCATTAAATATTTATTAACTTTTTTATTACATTATATATATATAAATAAGATTGACTTATTTGACTGACAGGATTATCTCTCTCTCTCTCTCTCTCTCTCTCTCTCTCTCTCTCTCTCTCTCTCTTTCAGACGTTTAAAGTAATTCCTAATTAATGATTTAAACATAAAAAATGTTTTTAACCCTTTTTCTTGGAAAATAAATTGAATTAATTTGGATTAATAATGAATTTAAAGTACTTTTTTCTTTAAGTTATTAGGGTTTTTGAATAAAAGTTTTTGTTATTGTTATGTCTATAAAAGCATTTATTTCTATTGAATTCATTGAAGTTCATTAGCACTCGAAACGATGTTTTATTTTTAAATATTTGAACACTTTTAGCTATTTAAATAAAATTAAATTTTTCTTAAGTTATGCTTAAACACAACTTTTAAGTGTCTCTCTGTGATGAGGGTGGTAGTGGTGGGTCGGGTAGGTAATTTTTGGACAGGCATTGTACCATAGTTTGTAAATGGGATTTATGTGTTTTACTCTAAATGACTATATTATAAAGTGAATAATAATATAGTTTTGATGACTGGTTTTTTTTGAGGTATTTAGGATATTTAGTATTTGTTAACTGTTTAAACAAAACAGTGTAACATAAGTTGATTTGTACACATCCTTATGCTAATAACAGAGAGATATATATTTGTATATATATGCATATCCTTGTCCAAAGTGAGAGTGAATGAGAGCTTACCACCGAAACCAGCAGTAAGTGCTCACCAAATATCCATATCCATACCAACATCCCTCAACCACCCCCTCATTTGTAGGCACACCTGTCACAGGTGTTATGCTATGCTGTAAGGTATGCTATGGTATGACATACTATAATACTGTATATATATATAGTATTGTATTGGTAAGGTATGGTATGGTCACTGGCCCTCACAAACTTATAACAAAACCAGGTCTTGTAGTCTTTCCACTCTTACTTGTCGTTTCATTTCAATAAGTTTTTACTTTCTTTTTGCTGCCAAATAATTGTCTGCAGACTGTCTAACATTTGCGGCTAAAAACCTCCACTTTTACTTTGCATCTGTCAATACTCACTCAATACCTACTCTCACTCATTCACTCACTCACTCAATGGCTTTTCTCGCAGCTTTTCAAGCATTTTAATACATCTATAATACATTGCTATATATTTTTCCAAATGGTAATAATCAATATATTATATATATTAAACTAATATAAATATAAATTTATATACAGTATATGACTATTATAACAGTTATTATTATTATTATACAGTATTACCATTTCTACGAATATCCTATTCAGACGAAAGTTATAGCTATAGTAATAAAAATAATATTATTAATATTTTTTGATGAATTTATGTTTACATATACATGTTATGAGGGATTAAAGAGAGAAAAAATATTAAAATATATATTTTACTAAAAAAAGTAAATTTATCCGATAAATAATATTAATATCTATAAAAACACTGTATACTAAATCACTGAAAAATTGTTTATATTAAACTGTTTTTTTAATAAATAAATTTATTGCATAAATATGTATTAATGCCATAACTGATACTACTATAGATATTCTCTCTCAAATAATAAATGAAATATATATATATAGTTATATTGTTTGCAATGCAAAAAAATCTATAAAATTCATTAATCGATGACACGATTATATGTTTTATGAGCTAAAAAAAGCAAAACATGCAATTTATTATTTATAAAGTATATATATAAATTAGATTTCATATTAATATATTTATAGCCATAGATATACCGGTGTTTTATGCAAAGTTAGCTATTAATCATCTAAATTGACTGATGGACTAATTTTATATTGGATTAAAGGCATATTTTCTAGGTTTAATCATTTGCAAATCATAGGATTAAAACAACTATTTAAAAATTGAGGAAAACTAATGGTTGGAGACATCTGTAAGATTGAACTGCAGAAATCTCTCTCTCTCTCTCTCTCTCTCTCTCTGTCGCTCTCTTAAAAACTTAGCGATATATTGCAAAAAGGGATCATAAATTCAATTCATATAACAGATCCGGTAGTTTGTATGTCGACTATATCCTGCAGTGTGCTGTGTGTTGCAGCTGCACAACAGTAGCCTTACATATCTACCATCAGTGCTGACTTAGCTGCCGGTGCAACGGCATCGATGATGACTGGTGTGTAGTACTCTATGGTATGGTATGTATGGATATGTATGTATGTATGTATGTATGTGTTGGTCTCATATTCTGTAATAATTGAATGGGAAATTGCAATCCAAAGGAGATCTGTAACAATAGCGCCACGGGTTATACACTCACCACTAGATATGCCATTATTATGATTGTATGTGTTGTGTTATAACAGCAATACATTTTGCATGTATAACAATAATATTCATTGATCTCTAATTCACGAACCTATACCTCCTCCCAATAACAATGATCAGTGCAGTCGACACGTGCAGCCCACGCGCCTCAAAGTCCCCGGCTAACACACGCACACACGCGTTACACTATTATTTATTTCTTACATTTCTCTCAACTAATTTATAGAAAATATAATATCATATATATATTATATATTTTCGCTGAACTTTTCTTTTCACTCAAAATCGCACAAAAATTAAGTCAGTCTTCGCTCTCTGGGGTCACACAAATGGCAACGATTTTTCCAGTATTGCCACAAAAAAATAATAGTAATATTTTCTTCTAATATCAATGCATTGACTAGTCATTGACTTATGTCTCTCTCTCTCTCTCTCTCTCTCTGAGTCTGTCCTCCCCTCCCTCTCTTGATATTAATTTCTTAGACCTGGTCTATGGTTTGAACTATATTTTCAATGAACAATACATTTTTAAAAAAAATTATTAGATAGTAGACGACTGACGCTTATTTAGTATATACTCGTTGCATAACAACGTTAGGTTAGGTAGCATTTGATACGACAAAAGTAAATCTGTCTATGTTTTACTTATGTTATATTATACCGAATATATAAACTTTTTTTTGATGACTGTGTCTATAAAATTGTGTGGTTGTGTCTGGCGGTGACATTTGCCACACATAATATATATATATATATATATTATAAACTATAAAACAACAACAATAACAATAATAGTAATATAAAAATAAAATAAATAGCAAACATTTTTCTAGTCAAACCATTAGCAAAACTAGAGTAAATTATTATTTAGAAAAATATATTGATATATACTATTATATATATATTGGTATAAAATAATTTACAAAAGTTTTTTTTATTGACAACAAAATAGATTTATTACAACAGAATAATAAAAATTCTATTGAGAGGAGAGTTATCTAATTTTTTAGGTAATATTTTGACGCAAAAATGTTTATCTCGTATTTTGTTGTTTGATTTTTAAGAGAAAAAAAATCAAATTTGCCATTAACTGAGAGTACAAAACTGATTTTTTTTAAAGTAGCTTTTTGTTGTGAGCAAACATTTTTATGAGTGGTTTGGGATATCACAGATAAACTACCACTCAGTTGATAATATAGTGAGCTATCCTGTTGTGAAAATTGTGTGAAAAAAAGTATCAGTAAAGCACATCCAAAGAGAGAGAGAGAGAGAGAGAGAGAGAGAGARAGCAGCGGCACTTTTTTGCATAAATCACTTGCAATTTTGGAATTTTTATTAGTGTTTTACTGACCACACAGTTGTGTATATATATACAGTATGTATGCCTCCCATTCAGACCTTATTAGGCCTGTCTATCGCAGTCAGACACCTGATTACCTGATTGTTGTCCAGTGCGCTAAAGCGCCCAACTTTTACTGACTATATATTTTTTTAGTTAGTGGGCCCACTGTTTTATCTTTTTATTTTTTTTTTTTGAATAATTTAGTCAATTTGTATATTATTGTCATATAAGTTGTTTCAGGTCCACATATACAACAAATGTATTTCACACAACAAATTCTATGAGCACTGGTATGGTATGGTGTGGTGTGGTGTGGGCTCAACCATTTGTTTAATAAACATACCGTCACTTTTTACGAGACTTAGCAAGAGATGAGAGAGAGAGAGAGAGAGAGAGAGAGTCTGTATTTTCATGGCTCAGGATATTACTGCTAAAAGCTTCTGTGACTGACTTACTGACTGAATGACTGATTCTCTCACTTTCAGTGAGAGAAAAAAAACTTTTAGTTTTTAAATAATATGCCATATATTTAGTGTATATATAATTCATTGAAAGTTGTAAATTGAAAAAATTGATGTTTGATTTTATGTTGCTTATATTATATAGATAGATATATATATTTTACTTATATATATATATACAGTATATCGTGAAAGTGATTTGTGCACTGGTTATTCAAATATATATATATACATATATTGCTCTAAAATGTAAACAATTTTTGTTTGACTGTTTGTGTGTGTCTTTTAAGTATCGGAAAAACTTTACACGTTTTTCTCAACAAAAATAGTTACACCAAATATTTGTTTTAGTAAAAATCTTTCGCTATTTAATAATAGCAAATAACTATACTTTTAAATAAGCCGTCAAATAAATGGGTTACCATATGATTAATAATAAATGCTATCTATTATTTAATAATAATAATAATAATCATTATTATTATAGTTTTTGCTATTTGCTTAGTTTGACTCTATGTTCAATATGTAAGTTTTATAAGTAATATATAAATATATATATATATATTTAGTATACTGTATATCTATTTAAGTTTTGCTAATAAAATAAACATTAAATTTGCATTAAAAAATTATTTCAACCCGAAAAAGGCGCGCCTTAATTAATGACTTAATTTAAATAAATAAATTGATTTTATTTTATTTCTTGTATTGCATTACTCTTATTTTATTATAAATGTTTTATATATATATAAAAAATAACTAATTTTCAAAAGTATTTAATTTTTTTCTCTCTTTATATCTCTTACAGCATTAGGTACACAATTAGAAGAAAGTAAGCATCAAATTGATCCCACTTGTGGTCAATTCAAGTCATTACAGAACTCAGTTATAAGACTCGAGAACATAATCAAAGAATTATCCGAAAGAGTAAGAAATTTATTATTATTTTTATTACTATTTGACTTAATTTGATGTCTCAAAAAGCAAAAATAATGACAAAATAAAAGAGAGAGAGAATAAAATCAATAAAACTATATATTATTATTTTGTTTGGCATTTAATAGCTGTTTGAGGCAGAGCTGAGGCTACAGAATGTGGAGGAATGCGATTGCTTTAAGAGTTGTGTAGTAAACGGATCCATACATGAAGAGGGCTCGAGTTGGCAACACAACTGTGATATCTGTTCTTGTGTTGTATGTATTATCACTATTATTATTATTATTATTATTACTGTCATTAAAAAAATATTTAAATAGTAATTAATATTTATTATATATTATTTTTATTTTATCAATTTGTTTGGTATATGTATAGCGCGGACAAGTGATCTGTCGACCCATTCAGTGTCAGACTCCCTGTAAAAATGCCGAATATATTGAAGGCCAGTGCTGTCCTGTTTGCAAAAGTATGTATATATTGTTTTGACATATTTTTTGTAATTAATGTGTTGTTTAGTGGCCGATGATTAATATATATGTTTTGTTTTGTTATCTATTTATGATATATCTATGCAGAAACATGTTATCTAAACCAGCAGGTCCTACAACACGGTGAACGCATTAGGATCACACCAAAGACCGGCACCAATAAAGACAAATGTGGTGAATGTGTTTGTAATGTAAGTGTTTTTTTGCAATAAACAAATAACTTTTTTAAATAATTTAATTGATTAATTGTTTGATGATAGAGAGAGAGAGAGAGAGAGAGAGAGAGAGAGAGAGAGAGAGATACTGTAAATTCAATTAAAATTACAATATATATGTTACTTATGCCGTATTTGGCCTTTTTTTATTTCAAAAAAAGGACGGAAAGACAAGTTGTAAGCAAATTATCTCTGAGACGATGTGTCCAAAACTTAACTGTCCGCCTGAGCAGCAAATATATCGGGAAAACGAGTGCTGCAAAATATGCGCCGGTATTCAATCATATATTTTTTATTATTATTGATTACCCACTTATTAACTCATTAAGTGACTTAAGATAACTAATTGTAAAATAATTAATTTTTTTATTTAGGCACCGATTTTTGCGGGTCAGGCAATGACTGTCACCCGACAAACGGGACCTGTCATAACATGATGACCGAATATATATGTATTTGTAACGATGGTTTTGACGGCGATGGCCGCATCTGTACCGATATCAATGAGTGCGACCATAAGGGCGGCACTGATGGCAATCATTGCGGACAAAATACTCAATGCTTGAACACATTGGGCTCCTATAAGTGCGAATGTTTACAAGGATTTAGACGGCATAATAGATTTGAATGTATTGCCGGTACCGGTAAGTCAATTACAGTTTTGTTGCAGTCGTTGTCATCACACACAACATTATATCCTCTATCTTATATACAAAATCTAATCATATTTTTTATAATAATTTTAATTATTTTTTATTACTTTTATACTTTAAATTTTTAAAACAAAAATAGATAACAAAGGTATAGAGGTTTCTTCTTCTACTGTCAAAACTACTGTACAAACTTATCTATTTATAGTCAGGCCTTTTAATAATAATAATAATAATAATAAATACTATCCTTAAAAAAATTAATATATTAAATACCTATAGACTTGTATATATATTATATTAATATAAAACAAATTAAATATATATATATATATATAATAAATTAACAAAATGTTACTAATAATAAAATGTAAAATCTATATATATATATAAAAAATTATACTAATATAACTTGAAAATAAATTTATTAAAATTAAACTTTTTTTTTGTTAAACAAAAAATTTAAATTACTAATTCATTAATTTTATTTTGACAATATTGTTGTATATATTATATAATAAATACAATATATTGCGCGAATATATATATATACCTGTATAACATTTTTTTCAAAATATACTGTTAACAATGGTGTTGGGTTTAATATTGGATATTGGATATTTTATAATTTTATGACAATATATAGTTGTTTTAATAATAATAATTTTTTTGATAACTAATTTGAAAGTCATTTATATAATAATATGGATTTTATTAGACTATTCAGCCGACAATACCGACAATACTGACGATGATTCCGACAATACAAGACTGATGACAGATCACAGCCATCACAGGTCTCGACAACAGTCGGACGGACACAGAAACAGACAGACAAAGAAACACCGAAATTAAATATGATATTCAAAATAATAACAACAAAAATAAATTTAAAAATATGTTGAAAATGTTAGCTCCAGTATTAATAATATAAATTTTTCAGTGCTTTCGTGACACTGAATATTCATTATTATTATTAGTAGTATTTTAATATTTTATTTTTCAAATGATTAATTTTACCATTAATTTTGGTTTATTAATGTTATAAAAAGTAATATTCATTTCAAAATAGTTTTCTAGTCTTTTTTAGTTTAAGAAATACCAAAATACAAAGTTTTTAAGGGAAATCAATTGATTTATTTTATTAAATTCTAGTTTTCAATTAACTATAATTTATTTATTAATATTTTCATTTTTTAGTGTATTATTAAAAAAAAGTTTTTAGTATTATTACAGTATTATTATTATTACTACTATTACTACAGTATATTATAAATTTTTATTAGTATTATTGATTTTGGTGTTGAAATCCATTAAAAATAATAGAAAACATGAGATTCAATTATATATATAATTTATATGTATGTAATTAAGCATCTATTTTATAAATTACACATATATTTTAGAGATGATTACTATAAAAATGATTATTAATAATAATAAACAGCACTTTTATTGAGAGCATTTGAACAATTGTGTCGTCTGAACGTGTTATTCAAGAAAAATACTGCCAATTAATTAATTAATATAATATATACAATAACTTAATTTATATACTTGTTATTTAATAGTTAACAAATTAAATTATCATTTTTGTATGTATATATAATATGATTTATATAATTATATATGTAAATTATTTTATTTTATAATTCATCTTTTTAGAATTATTAATTTTATGATTATTATTAATATTAAAATGTCTTGTTTATAAAAATAAAATTTTGCAAAATACTAGAAAAAATTATTTGCTTATTATTATTGATATTATAATTATAATTTTATTAATAACACAAAATAACATTTGTGTTGCCAATCAAAGAGACAGCTATGCGACCAATAGTTGAATCAAAAACAAATCAATTCAATTAATTAGGAAAATAATTTATTATACAGTATATGATAACAACGTATATATGATATATTGAATATACAGTATATCATAGATAAAACATTTTTAGTGACGAATAATTTGTTTGTTTGCGATAAAACATTAAAAGTTTATAACAAAATTACATACTATTGGACAAAAATAAGAGCATAAGGTTTGTTAAGTTTGTGTGTGTGTTTGAGAGAGAGAGAGAGAGAGAGAGAGAGAGAGAGAGAGAGAGAGAGAGAGAGAGAGAGATGATATTGAAAATCTAGATTTCATATCAATTCATAAGCTTTCAAACAAATTGTAAGTTTTATCATATGATAGTGCAGTGAATAAGCGGTGTGTGATCTGTAAAAATACCAGAAAAAATACCAATTTTAAAGCTATAAAAACTAAATGAATAATAAATTTTTATGCATTATTTGAAATAAAAAAAGTAATGTGACATAAAAATTGTATAATAATTTAATTAATGCTAAAGTGTAACAATAATTTTGGTTACCATTAGTTTTATTACTATTATTACTGTATTATATAGTATTTGTTTTTTAATTAGACATTGACTGTGCGTTTGGGTGTTATAAAAGTCTAAGCCTTGAACTGATATTTTTCCTGAGAGAGAGAGAGAGAGAGAGAGAGAGAGAGAGAGAGAGGTTGCTTTGAATAATAAAAAGTCTAAACTTAAATATAAAATAAATATATAATCTAAAAGTTTTTAAAACATTTTTGTTGAGATTTTTTTTATTTATATTTACATTTATCTCGAAAAATATAAAATATATTTTTCAGATAGACTTTTGATTTCAAGGTTATATTATAAATATATTGGGTTTTGACTGTTTCAAGAAACCAATTTTACAGTAAATGATGGCAAATACAGTTGTTAGATATTACCAGAGACCAGGTCTCAGTGATGCCAAAGTTAATGATACGTTGGCTAAACTGAAGACAACGATCGCCAAGAATGTGACATCAATTCAGACAGAGTTTTGCTATTATGTGGGGATCAATGGTAAGTGTTTTTTATTTATCTGTGCACTCATTTGTAGCCAAAATAAGAAAATATCTTTATTTTTATTTTTGTTACAAATACTTTCTATTAAACAGAAAATAATATTTCATTTATATTATTATTGATATAAATATATTTAGGATTTCTGAATGAATCGGATCAGAGAAAAGTCGAATGGATATTATCGCCGACTTTCGACAGCACTCTCGCAAAGTCAACATCACTGGCTGTCGCTGTCGATGATAAGTCATCGGCAAAGAAGTGCTTATTATTTATCGAAATCGGTCCGCGACTCAGCTTTAGTACTGCCTTTTCGACAAATGCCGTATCCATTTGTGCAGCTGTGGGATTGGCAGCAAAAATAAACAGAATCGAGAGGAGCATTAGATACCAGATCAGCTTTGAGGTGATCCACACACTCACTAAACATATTCATGTCTTATGTTAGGTTTTTTGTGTTTCTTATGTTTAATATTGATATTATTGTTACATTTTTTGTAACATTTGCTCTCTCTCTCTCTCTCTCTCTCTCTCTCTCTCTCTCTCTCTCTCTCTCTCTCTCTCTCATACTTACTCATTCACACTCACTCTTTCTTCTTGTTGTAATGAAAACGTTAAGTGAGGGAAAAATGCAAAGATTTTCATTTCAAAAAATAATATTAGTAACACATTATCTGTTTATTTAAATTTGATGTCAACAACAAAAAAACTGAAAATTAGGGCGAAATTAGTGGTGAAGTGGAGTCACTGATAGTAAACCAATTGCACGACCGCATGACTGAACAACGATATACAAAACCAATTGATTCGTTTGCATTACCCGTCAATACAGAGACATGGACTGAGATCGACATCATTAATAGGGGAGAGGAAGCCCTCCGTCAGATCAGTGATGAACTGGGACTGGCATTTGATGAATGGGATATACAATACTATACTAATCTATTCAGGGATACACTTAAACGCAATCCGACATCAGTCGAGTGCTTTGATTTGGCTCAGTCTAACTCTGAACACTCAAGACATTGGTTTTTCAAAGTATGAAAATAATATATTACATAACTATATAACTAATTACTTTATATATTTTATTTATAAATACATATTTTCGCACTTAAAAACACATACACATAATTTACATACAGTACATATACTCTCAATTTCACACTTATGTTAATGACATGTAAATGATTAATAACCATAACATTGACTTTTACATTAAAAAAATAAAATTATGGCAATTGTTTGTTGTGTTGGGGGTAATATAGGGAAACCTAGTGATTGATGGCAAACAAATTGATAGATCGCTGATCGATATGGTGGCCGACACACAAAACCATACCAATGACAACAATGTCATCAAATTCAATGACAACTCGAGTGCCATCAAAGGCTTCTCTGATCTTAAGATTCTTCTTCCGGTAAACTCGACTGAAGCCTCGTTAGTTAAAGTCGAACCAAATAAGACTCGACACATCATATTTACTGCCGAAACACACAACTTCCCCACTGGTGTGGCCCCCTTTCCCGGTGCTACCACTGGTAAGTCACACACACACACAAACACTATTTGCAAAGTGTTATATTATTAGGTCCACACCTCATCAATTATCAGAGAGAGAGAGAGAGAGAGAGAGAGAGAGAGAGAGAGAAGAAAGGGAAAGCACTTATTTTTAGATCAATTTCTATCCCATTCTCTTATGTGATAAATATTTCTATTAAATCATTCAATTTTTGTTTCGTATAAACATTATATATAATGTATAAAAATAGCAATTTTCGACAAACATTTATATTTGGGTTTCCTCTTAATAGTTGTATATTATTGCAAAGTGTTAATAAATTTTCCCGAGAAATGAAAATTTTATAGATATTTTTATATATAGTTTAAATATATACTATATATATCACATACAGATATATGTATAATATATGAGAAAATAATTTACGATAAAATTTATTACATTTTTAAAATATAATCATTAAAAAAAATTTTAGAAAAATTTTAACACAGCTATCACTTGCAATTAACTCTAATCATCAGTTAATAAATCATTTTGTAAAACACTATTAATATATCAATACATATACACACAGTGTATAACATTATCTTTATGTTAAATCTTTTGCTTTCACTTTGCGGTCGGTTATTGATAATGACATAACCAAACACAGACACACACACAGTATTTGAATAATTTTGTTAAATTGATTATTAAAAATGTATATAAATTAGTTAAAATATTATGTATTTATTAGTAACAAATGATTAGAGGACTATCTGTTTATACTATAAAAATGATTACACAACCGATTATTTTAATTAGAGTTAGGATTTACTTTAATAGTGTAAATGTATTGTATAAATGTTATTAGTATTATTATCGGAAATTATTATTAAATAAATAATATTTATATTTAATGTTATTTAAATGCTTTATTAATGTAATATACATATTATCATAGTAAATGATAACATAAACTATATAATTGAAAACAGGAACCGGAGGTCGCATTAGGGATGTCCAGGCAGCGGGTCGTGGCGCTCATGTAGTCGCTGGAACTGCTGGTTACTCTTTTGGAAATCTTAATATTCCCGGCTATGACATGGAATGGGAGGATAAAAATGAGGTCTATCCGACAAATTTTGCCTCACCGTTGCAGGTATGCGTCGAAGCCAGTAATGGTGCCTCAGATTATGGCAACAAATTTGGTGAACCAGTTTTGACCGGTTTTGCCCGAAGTTTTGGACAAAGATTACCAAATAGTTTAGTAGTAATTTGTACAGAATTTTTAGTACATTCATAATAATTATCAAAAAAAATTAAATAATAATTTTAGATGAAAGATATGAATGGATTAAACCAATTATGTTTAGTGGAGGTATTGGTACCATAGATGAGGGTTTTGTTGGCAAAATGCCACCAGAAATAGGGATGTCTGTCGCAAAAATTGGTGGACCTATCTATAGGTTATTTTTTTAATATATAATTTTTCAATTTATTTTTATAATAATATATTTATTTTTAAAAATAAATTGACATTAATAACAGAATCGGAGTGGGAGGCGGCGCCGCCAGCTCTACCAAAATTCAAGGTTTGGTATATATATTTTTTTCATTGAGATTTATACTAAACTTTTTTTTAACCAATTTTGTCACTCAAAAAAAATCAATAGGAAATGAAGAGAACCAGGAGTTAGATTACGGTGCCGTTCAAAGAGGCGATCCGGAAATGGAGCAAAAACTCAATCGATTCCTCAGAGCGTGTATTGAATATTCTGGTAATTGATTTTTTTGTGCAAAATTTTTTTCAACTATATTATCAAATTTACAATATGTATATATATACTGTATATATATTCTGTTTTTTGTTGAAAAAATGATAACAAATAAATTGAATTTATTTTTTTTCAATAGACAAGAATCCCATTCAAGCAATTCATGACCAAGGTGCCGGAGGAAATGGCAATGTTCTCAAAGAGATAGCCGATCCATTGGGCGCCAAGATCTATACGGATCGATTCAGTTTAGGCGATCCAACTGTCAATACACTGGAGTTATGGGGAGCCGAGTATCAGGAGAGCAATGCTATACTTATCCGACCAGAAGATCATTCATTACTTCAGAAGATAAGCGAACGGGAAAAGTGTAAAATTGATTTTGTCGGCGAAGTTACCGGCGATAAGCACATCACTCTCGTCAGTCCCAACGACAAGAATGGCGTACATGCCGTTAATCTTGAGCTCAAACATGTGTTAGGATCGATGCCAAACAAGACATTCCAGTTTAAGACGACAACACCACTGTTAAGACCATTACAATTACCAACAAATCTTAAACTAATTGATGCACTCAATCGTGTACTTCGATTGCCATCCGTGGCCTCCAAACGATATTTAACAAATAAAGTTGACAGAAGTGTAACGGGTATTAATGACAAAAAATAATTAACGACTTGTTTTAGGATCTAAATTAAGTGATTAACACTTCCAAAAACAGGTCTTGTGGCTCAACAACAATGTATTGGTCCACTTCATACACCATTAGCTGACTACGCTGTGATAGCAATGAATTATTTTAACTTTGAGGGCAGTGCCACCTCTATAGGAGAACAACCTATCAAAGGACTTATATCTGCCGAAGCAAACGGAAGATTAACGGTTGCAGAAGCCATCACTAATCTAATGTTTTGCGTTATCAGTGACTTGAGAGATGTCAAGTGTTCCGGCAACTGGATGTGGGCCGCAAAGCTCGATGGTATGCACTGACACATTATTGCCCCCATAAATCCCAATCATATTATTTATTAACAATCCTTATGTTTGACATATAATTTATTTCAATTATATTATTGGTTGTGTGTGTGTGTGTGTGTATGTGTTAAGGAGAGGGAGCTAAACTGGTAAAGACGTGCGAAAGCATGTGTCAAGTGATGAATCAATTGGGAATTGGCATCGATGGTGGCAAAGATTCATTATCAATGGCTGCAAATGTCAAAGTGAGAAACAACTCAGAAGTGGTCAAATCTCCAGGAACTTTGGTTGTTAGCTGTTATGCACCGGTTCCTGATATTAGAGTTAAAGTAACGCCTGAGCTCAGGGTCGATGGCACTCAATTGCTTTACATTAACCTAAGTGGTCATAATAAACACCGTATCGGAGCGTCGGCTTTGGCCCAAGTATTCGGTCAAATTGGCGACGAATCACCCGATCTGAACAATCCTCAGCTTCTCAAGGATTGCTTTAATTTGGTACAAGAATTAATCAAAGGCGGCATCTGTACCGCTGGTCACGATATCAGTGATGGCGGACTCATTACTTGTGTCCTGGAAATGGCATTTGCCTCCAATTGTGGCATTGAAGTCAACATCGAGTGTACAAACAATGCAGATATTGAAGTGCTGTTTGCAGAAGAGTGTGGTGTTGTCATTGAAATCATTGACGACTATTTGCCTAAAGTATTACAAGACTTCAAACGTATAGGACTTGAACCACAAGTTATTGGCAAAGGGCTCGACAATCAAGACTTAGTTATTATTAATATCAATAATAAGCCAACTCTTAGAGTAAATATCATCAGAAAAAATATATTAATAATAAAAATGTTTAGGAAAAAGAAAAAATATGTATTAATAATATTTGTTGTTTGGATTTTAGGCAAAAATGACTGAATTGAGAGACAAATGGGAAGAAACGAGTTTTGAATTGGAAATGTTTCAGACAAACAAAGCCTGTGTCCAACAGGAGAGGAATGGACTTAAACATAGAAAACACCCGAAATGGACACTGACCTACAATCCGGATAACATCAATATAAGTAAATATAACTTAATCTCTTAAACAGACACTTATATATATTATATGTTTGTGAATAAATACATTAATAATAATAATGTTAACAAAAATTCATTAAATGCCAGATATTGACAATCACTTCAAGAGTGCTCCACGAGTTGCAGTGATTCGAGAGGAAGGTATTAATGGGGACCGGGAGATGATCGCCAGTCTCTATATGGTTGGCTTCGAAGTGGCCGATGTCACCATAACTGACATTTTGAACAAAAAACTATTGACTTTGGAAGCATTCCGGGGCCTTATATTTCCCGGTGGCTTCTCCTATGCAGACGTATTGGGCAGCGCCAGGGGGTGGGCGGCAACCATGAAGTTTAACGATATAATAGCACAACAGTTGGAGAGATTCAGATCGCGAAACGATACCTTCTCGCTGGGTGTTTGCAATGGATGCCAGTTAATGGCCCTCTTAGGTTGGGTTGGCTCCGAAACAGAGGGTATGTCCAAAAAAAACACCGATAATGTCAATCATTTTTTTGTAATTAAAATGAAATATTTGTTAAAAAAATTTTAAGGAAAACCAGAGACAGTTGTGACACACAATGACTCCGAAAGATTTGAAAGCCGTTTTGTTTCGGTAAAGATTGAAGAGACCACTAATGCCATTATGTTTAAAGAGATGCAGTCATCAGCTATGGGTGTCTGGGTATCGCACGGAGAGGGAAAGTTTGCTTATGTTAACGATAGTATACTCAAGAAAATTGAACAAAACAATTGTATTGCACTCAGATATGTTGACGATCTTAACAATTGTACTCAAGAGTAGGGCAATCCATTTATTTATTTATTTTTAGTAGTAGTATATGTCATCATTAAAAGTACTCTATTTATTGCTTAGGTATCCAATGAATCCTAATGGAAGTGCTCTGGGAATCGCTGGAATTGCCAGTAAAGATGGTAGACATTTAGGTAATAAATTCAAAATTGATTTTTTTTGTTAAAATAATATAATAATTTTCCATTAAACAGCAATTTATTTAATATCATTTATTTTGCTGACATTAATATTATTATTATTATTATTATAGCACTTATGCCTCACCCGGAAAGGGCGACATTCATATGGCAGTGGCCTTACATTCCCAAGAAGTGGAAGCACCTGAAAGTGAGCCCATGGGCTAAAATGTTCAGAAATGCTTACGACTGGTGTATCACTGCTTAGTTGTCTTTTTTTTAAAAATAAATTTTATGACAATTATTGATCTATTTTCCTATAGTATGCATAATAAACACACAAATCAATAGTGAAACTATCGTTACTTTTAGAATAAAATCAATTTTTTAAGTATAGTTTTTTTTTAAATAAATAAAATAAGTGATTTGTCATTTTTTTAGTAAATAAATCTCTATTTTAATTACAAATATTTTTTTATATAATATATTTTATATAAATATTAACAAATTGTATGATATCTTTCTCTCAGTCAACATATGATTAAAAAATAACAGAAATTATTAATAATTTAATTTACATATAAAGCCTTCACTAATAATGTCTTAAACGGCATAATTGATTGAATGATACCTTCTATCGGTGATTGCAATAACAATTTGATTGAAATCATAATACGCCTGAAAGTGAAACAACATATTGCTTAAGACGACTAAATACTCGCAAATAGCGAATAGGGTATAGACTCCGGTCTCGCAGTAGTTGTTGTGTCTTAAATAAAAATAGACGGCCAGTAGTGCCGCCGATACGTTCAAAATTGTCATATATTTCTTAAATTTGCTTCTTTTGTATTTAATTAAATGCAAAACCATTCCCATGAAAGCCGTTAAGAGAAATGTTACGAAAGCTTTCGAGTGAAATGCTGTCTCCAAATAATTTGTAGTCATTTTTTTGTTTGCGACCAATCAATTGGTGGACAAAATTTATAAATTCATTACAATTTACGTAAAAGAAATTAATTTAATTAGTTTTTTTGTGTTAATTACTTACAAAAGTTTTCGGTGGACGAGACATATGTTAGGCCTAAAAGTGCAGTGATTTCGGTGACGTTTAATGTAAAGACTAGTTTCGAGTCAAATCGGTTGTAATACATGTAAGCGATAACATATCGGGCCATTGAATGCAAGCCGATGGCCAATCGCCAGATGTATTTCTGAGGCGAAAATGCGCCGATGGCCGCACTGATCGACGGCAAAAAGTTGCGGACACCGCAGTGAGTGGATGTGGACGTCTCGAAGTCAAACACAAGTGACCAGAACACGCACAAGAAAAACGCCATCAGCGGTAACAATACAATGGTTACCACTATCGACGTAAATGGCAGTACAATGACGTTGTCGGCAATATTGTCGTTGAGTGACCGGTACGGCTGCACGCGGTATGAACTGCCAAACCATCGCTTCCACATTGGTTTCAATCTGTTGGACAACAACACAGCTGATGACGACAACAGTAGTTGTGTTCACCGATCATCTGATTATCAAAATGTGTGAATCACTTCGTTATTAATAATATTATTATTACTATTAGTGTCAACACAACAACAAACCGATGACAACATTGACTGCAATAATACTCTGTATTTAATTAAAAAAAAACTCCTATTTATAGTCAAAGCGCATGACTTTATAGTTAATACACAGTACTAGACATCGATATCAATGACTTACTCTCTATTAAACGGTATTATTAATATTATAAATCAATTTATACTTTTGATAATATAATAATTATTTTAAAAAAATATTTCTATTATATCTATTGATAAGTTTTTTAATAAAACTATTTTTTAATGTATTTAACTAAAATTATTTTTATTGTTTAACTAACTATTTGAATTTAATAATTAAATTACTAATTAAATAAAAGTTAATATAATTTATGTTTAAACCAAAACCATATATCCGTAAAGTTTATCAAAACAAATCTCTATTGAGATCTCTATAATGTCTGCAATAGTGTTGAGTAAACAAACATATGATTGAACTGTGATTTGTATTGATGTGTAAAAAGTCATGTATTGTATTGAATATAAATAATTTGATTGTTTTGTTGTTTTGTTTTTTATTTTATTTGCTATCAATTGATTGATTAATCAATTAATTAATTAAATAACATTTGATTGTTTAACTGATTATATCAAGTGATCGACGGATGTGTTGTTATTATTGTCGACAATGTCTGTAAAAGACTTGGAAAAGTTTGTCCGTCACTTTGTCTTGAAGTGTGTCCAAGTGATAGTTCAGTCCCGACTTGGATCCAATCGCATCAAAACCGACTCAAACAAGAGAGGCAACGATTGGTTCAATTTAGCCATCAATGATATCAAAGATATTAACGAACAGTCGAAGAAGTGTTTGGAGGCCGTCGGAGGTCTCGAAGTGACGCAACAACAACACGAACCGCTAAATCAGTCGCTGGTTGTCATTAAAACTGATTGGAAGATATGCTGCGAAATATCGATGAAGACCACTGAAGGCCAGACAATGACACTCGAGTACTGGTTTGTGGCCAACGAGGCCTACGAGTCGAACAATGCGACTAATCTTAATAATAATAACAATCAGTCGCCGCCATCGCCATCAATGATGGCCAATTCACCCACTCTTATCATTTACAACATCTACAATAAGATGAGTCTAATGTTAAAGTCGTTAATATCAGTGACCAGAGCGACGCCCGCATACAAACTTAGCCAAAAGGGTCAGAGCGCCGACTCCTATGTCATCTGTTATCGGGTCTACAATTGTGACCCAGATTTCAATATCTTAGAGTCCATGACTAACGATGAGTTACAACACTATTCATCACTGAAACCGTTGGGTTCAATCAAAAGTGCTTTCAATGAACTCTCTGTTTCGTTCATCTATCGTACAGATCTGTCGTTTGATCCAAAAATATCCAATGAAAATATTACACCAAACATAGCAACTGTTCCCAAAAGTCCACAATTACTTCCCGTTAAGAACGACCACTTCCAGAAAGAAGAGAAACTTAAAACACATGAAGTGAAAGATCAGACAAAACCATTGACGCCAGCGTTCGCTTCCGACACACGTATTACTAATTTATTTATTAAATTGATTTGTTTTTTTTTGTTAATTTTTTAATTTAAAATCAATTCATTACAGAGACTGAAATACTTCCATCGATATTACCTGAGCTAGACTTTGGCAATCTTTTATCATATGAGATGCCAAACGATTCACTCGACAGCAGCCCAAAGAAAATGTCATCTATTGATAAGTTGTCGCCAAAAAAATCGGAACCAATAGTGATTCCAAAACGATTAATCGATACCAGCGTTAATACCTGTTCGCCCAACTATTGTTCATCGGGTGATTCATTTGTTTTTGTCGACTTTAAGCCGCCATTTGCTCCCAAAGACGACGAAACTCTACCACCATCCATACTGTTAGAGCCGCCGCCGCAGATCACCACAAGTATTGATTCGTTAGCTGATCTCTCATTACAATTGGCCGAAATCGAGTCTAATGTACAAGATTTTGATAATTTTATACAATCTGTTTGTTCGACTGATAACGACGATCAGCTCAAAGATGGTTGAATGACATCAAACAAACAAAATATTTTATCATTTCATTTATAAGATGCTTATCAGTCATTTTAATGCATAGTTTATTATTATTATAAGTAAATCATTTACTTTTATTGATTTTTCAAACATTGAAGACCAAGATAATTAAAGTAATTATTATAAATATTAATATATTTATATAATATATTAGAGGAAATTATATTTACAGAAATAAAAAAAATAAAAATTTCATTTTATATTTTAAACACTTTTATTAATGAATTGAACGAATAGTGTGGCAATCAATTGATTATCAGAAATGGGATGAGTTTTAGTATAATTAATGAAAAGACGTCTCATTTTGTTTAGTTCAGCCATCGAAAGACTTTTATTTAGATTCAGTGTTTGTTTCGACTCTGGAATCATTATATTCTTCATTTGTCCGTTTTGTATACATTGATGTACATCTCTGACTACTTGCTGTGTCTTTAGATCTAATTCATACAAACTATTGGTAGCACTCAATGGTGGTGATTGTGTGGACAGATTTGGTTTGGGAGGCTTTCGCTCATAGAGTGCTGAAATTATCTCATCAATAGGTAATCCATCTGAGTTACCATCGATAACAATCAAAGGTGAATCCCAGCGATTGTTTGGTTGAGGTTTTTCGTAGCGCTGTATTAGCGCATCAAATGTCTCTCTTGAGTACGTTTCTTGTAAAGTATCACCCGTTAACTGATTTCTGTTCCAAGCAATGTCCAAATCCGTGGTCACTTCAATGACACAATGAGTTGTCTTTCTTTCTTTGGAAGTACAATACAACTCATATCTGAAACCTTTGATATAGTTGTTTGCATCCAAAATAACCAAATTATCACCGGTTAGAAACCGCTCGACTTCTGACTTCAGCCACGATCTCATTTCACGTTCGATCTTTGAATTGGCAAACAAAACATTTCTATCGGTATCACCTAATTTAGTCTCCCATGAGATGATAATTGACCGCCGATTGGTATGTTTTTCATCCAAACATTGTTTCAGACGATTGACAAAATATGTTTTACCGGTCAACGGTAGTCCACACATGATTATGAGCGGCATTTTTTAGATAAATCAATTGGTGACGACCACCAAAAAAACCTTGTAGTAGTTAATTCACCGAAATTATCACCAAAATAAGTGACCAAATAATCGGTAAATAAAATTTAAACAAAAATAATGATTGCATTGACTGACTGACTGACAACACACGTGACTCTCCAATAGTGTCAACACATATGTGTGATAAACATGTGTTCAAAACATTGCTTCAAAAATATCAATAGTTGTGTAAACGTTATGTAGTTTTGTATTGACTATCACTTTAAGATTTGGTCACCACTGAAGAAGAAGAAGACTATGTTTACCTTTGATTTAATCAAACAGTTGTCTGTAGACAACTGTGATATGATATTTGACACACAATTTCATCCGACCAAACATAATATACTGGCCATCAGTACCATTGAAGGACACGTCAAATTGTAAGTGATAGTGATTTTATTTTATTGTCCATTAGTTTTGGCCACTTTTTTTGCTACCGAATTTGTTAAAAGTATTGTTTATGATTTCATTCATTTATTTTGCATCCAGATATGACACGACTGTGGACACCAACAATGTGATAATGGATCTGAAAAAACATCATAAGGGAAGTCCGGTTCGCAAAATTCGGTTTAAAGACAATGGACAACTATTGGTTAGTTGCGCAAAAAGTATTAAGATAATGGACTTGAATACGGGACAAGTGGTCAGGAAAATAGATAATTGCGGTGAAAAAATCTCTTCGCTGTTGATTGTCGACGACTATCTGTTGTGTTGTGGCGACGATTCGGGTGCTTTCAAAGTCTTTGACTATCGGATAGATCGGGGAATATATATGGAGTCCAATGAATGTCAAGAATATATCAGCGATTTAGATATTAATGAAGCGAAGCGGACAGTTGTGGCCGCTTCGGGTGAGGGAACACTAACGGCGTTCAATATACGGGCCAAACGTATGGAACTTCAGTCGGAACTGTTTGACGCCGGCTTTCAATCGATTCGGTTTATGGAAGCCAAAGGCCGAGTAGTGGTCGGCGCAGAGGACGGAGCTATCAATATATTTAATGTTAACGAATGGGGAAACATTAGCGACAGGTTTCCCATTAGGGGACAGACTACCCGAGCACAAGGATTGTGTAGTATTGATAATATTGAACTTATTGATGACGAAACAGTTGTCGTCGGTTCGTCTGATGGAAAGTTACGACTGGTCAGTATATTACCGAACAAAGAATTGGCCGAAATTACAACCGGCGAGTCGGGTATTGAGAGTCTCGATGTCAACCAAATAAGTAAACAAATTGTGGCCACAAATGACAATATCATCAAATTATTTAGTTATAATGAAATCGACAAAAAAGATAAACGAAATCATAAATCAGGTTTTTTTGGAGGACTCGATGTTTAGTAAAAAAAAATTATATATAATATTATTTTTAATTATGATTTTATTTTGTATAATAATTTTCGATATAAATATTCAATAAATTTATTATTATAATAAACTGAAGTTTTATTATTTTATAAAAGGATTGTTTATAATTATAATTATTATCTAAATATTGTCATTTTTTTAGTTAACAATTGTAATTATAAGTGTTATATTATAATTAGCAATAAATTTTTATTGTTAAATGTGTTAATTGAAAATTAATTAGAGCTTCAAATTTTCATCCGCATGTAAATTAGTTTATTTACAAATAATTAAAAATACAATTTAGTTTAGTATTTTTTCTATTATTATTATTATTAAAAATTCAATATATAAATTTATATAAAAAATTAATTTATTATTATTTAAATATATTTTGTATTTGTTGCCAACTCTCGAGTTGACACTAAAATCAATGTTAAATATATTTGATATTCTCATGGCTTATACAAAATAACAATTATTGCAATAGTATTATAATCTACAGTAGTAACTAAAGTAATAATACAGTACTTGATTATATTACTATAGAAAAAAATTTAAACTATATTATCATAAATAGATTTAAACTTTATATATAATTATTATTATTGTATTTTATTTTATATTTTGTTAAAAATACAATTATTTTTATGAATACTCATTGTATGAAAAAAACTACTCTCAAACAACTTGCTAAACAAGTTTATTAAAAAAACTTATATTTTTTGCATAGACATTGAGCCAAACAAAATAATAATAAGTGACAAAATACAGTACAAAACTCACAAATTCAAAGCTGAGTTACACAAGTGATATAATGAGTGAAATAATGTGTAAAACAATTTTTTTTATTATATGTGAAACCATTTGACCCGAAGTGGGAGTGAATTGAACTCCAACTACCGATACTATACTGTTATGACAATTTGAATATAATATTATAATATATATATAACAAAATAAGTTATATTGAATAATAAGTATAATAAATATAAATTATATTACATTTCACTTTATGATTCACTCCTAAATTATATATTACTTCTAAACTATCAATAATTATTGGAAACGATGGCCGAGAGTACCAATGAATCTGTGGTGACCACAACCGCTGTGACCACTGAAGCCACCACAGCTAATGGCATGTCATCCGATAGTCAGATAATTCAAGAAAACTTTACAAACAATAACCAAAAATATTTGATGTCTGCGGCACTGATAACCGATGCCAAAGATGGACTGGTATTGCTATCTCAGTCGACAGACTTTATTAATGTTAAACTATATTTCCTATATCGACAACCATTCCTTCAGTATCTGCTTTATGTAACAATATTTTTGCATCACTTGTTAATATTGTTTGAGAAAACATCGGCCACTCATGACAATCATCTGTTGATCAATTGTCTGGAGCTATTGTGTCTACTAATATACGCACTGCGCTTAAGTCACTTACACTTATTCACACCGCGACCGGTATTCTGGTCGGACATGAAGAATATCATAATAGTGGTCACTGTTCTCATGACATTCTGTGATATTATCATCAGTTTATCAGTCAATAACTATATCCGATGGACACCAGTTCTCAGACCGCTTTTTATTATTAATTTTGCTGAAAACAAACAGGTATTGTACAGTATTTTTCTATAATTTTATACAATTAGATAATTAAAATCTATTTATAAAATAATTTTTAAAAAAATATTTTTTTTAATTAAAATTTTTGATAATTAAATCATCAGATTCGTAGATCATTCAGAAATATGAGAAACACATTACCGGATGTCTTGAATGTATTGATACTATTTTTCCTATCGATTCTTACATTTGCAATCATTGGTCTTAAACTATTTGAAAAGCAATCCATATATAATGCTTACAAAGAAAAATATTTTTCAGATTTTGTCGAAATTCTCTACAATTTGTATATTTTAGGTTTGATTTTATATATAAATATAATAAATTTATGATATTTACACAAATTTTTATTAATAGAATTAATGTTTAATAATTTATAATTTTTTTTAATCAATAGTCACTACATCTAATAATCCTGATATTATGTAAGTTTGAAAAAAGTTATTATACTGTAATACTGTATGTAATAATACAGTATAATAAATTTGTTGTTTATTTATTTAAATAATCTATTAATTTTAATTAATAGGTTACCAGCTTATAGAAAAAATCGTTGGTTTGCATTATATTTCATTATATTTATTGTCATTAATCTTTACCTATTTATGAACATTATTCTCGCTGTTATTTATAATAACTATAAGAAACATTTGAAAGTAAGAGATAGAAATTTAAATTAAATTTAGATAATAATTTATTTTTAAAAAAATTTTTTTAGTGTGAAGTTCAAAATGTGTTAATATTGAAGAAAAATAACATAATGAGAGCATTTAATCTATTGTCCAAAAAGACAAACATTTCCACACAAATTACTGGCAAACAGCAAACCGAAGCAATTGTCGGCATTACTCGGGAAGTGTTCAATGATTTGATGCAAATTATATTGGATGTGATGGACACTAGCAAAACAAATCGCGCGACACTGATATCGCTGTACTGGTCATTGATGGAAACAGATCAAGTGATAACCAGAGAAAATTTTTGTCAAATACTAGATATACTTAACTTTGAAATTACTATTATATCGAAAACGGAAAACTCGACAATTTTCGAGAAATTCATAAAAGATTTATACGATAGTAAACTATCGATTTTATTGAGAATTTCGGTAAAAACCAAATATTTTCGCAATTTTTTCGATTCACTTATTTTGTTCAATACTGTTATCATTGCCCTAAACGTTGACTATAAATCACTTGAATGGTTATTACTATTATTGTTCACAATTGAAATATTGGCCAAAATCTATACATTTGGTTTCAAACTATTTATACATAAATTTTGGAATCTATTTGATTTCATAGTCATCGGCACAGCTCTCATCCTATTCATTGTCATCGAACTCAAGAATCAGAATAATCTCAAGAATCAACAATTAGATCACTATTTGGATCTATTGTTGATTCTTCGTGTACTTAGATTATATAAAATCATTACAACAATTAATAGATTTAAAATTGTCGTCAAAACAATACTGGCTATTATACCATCGATTTTTACATATATTAGTCTATTGTTTGTAATTTATTATAGCTATGCTATTATTGGTATGCGATTGCTATCATTACAATCGATGACTAACAATCCGAAAATCAATTGCAATCAATTGAATGAGACATCAAATGCCAGCAACTATTGTCTCATAAATTTCAATACCTTTCCCGACGCTATGCTATTCCTGTTCAATCTAATGGTTGTCAATCAGTGGCATGTGTTGGCTAAGACCCAAGAGTTACTATTGGGAACAAAGTTTATTAGGATTTATTTCATATCATTTCACTTGATTTGTGTGATAGTTGTACTCAACATATTTACGGCCTTTGTTTTGGAGGCATTCATTCTGGAGTACATCGACGTGACCGACAAGAAACTGAAGAAAAGTAATTATGTCCTCAAATTGGAACAATTGGGAGTCAATTGTCTGCAAAAACGCGAGGAACCAATGGTTAATAGTCATTACACCAATTTTAATGACATACTGGACGCTGACCACGACCTGATCGATGCAACCGCAGTCGCCACTGGCCAGCGGACAACCCAACAGGACATCAACCAATACTGTCATTCATTGAATTATTCTGATCTAAGAATTATAATCAAAGAGAAAAAGTCTGTCGAGTTATTGCTGATCAAAATGTTTCAAAACGATATCAATATTGATATCTAAATGTTTTTTTTAAAGACCTAAACAATTATTATTATTATACAAGTTATAGTATATGTGTTTTTAGAGATTTATTAAATTAATATATAAATTAATATATTTAAATTAATTTTTAAAAATAAAGTTTTATTTATCTATTTATTTTATAAATGCTTGTAAAACATTATTATTTTATTTAAACAAAAAAAGTTTTAAATAATATGTGAAAAAACTTGATACAAATGATAAATTAATTTATTGTCTAATTAAAAATCACTTTAAAATTAAAAATTAATATTATAGAAGTTTACAATAAATATGCCATCGATTCTGTAGTAAATGTCACAAAAAAAAATTATTTTCATAAAACATGACTAAAAAATAAATCAAAATTAATATAATGGTTATTTGTTATAAATATAATATAATTAATTTGTTTTTGATAACTATTTCAAAATTATATTTAAATTAATAAATACCAGTTAACTAAGTTTATAATTAATTTTTTTAAAATTTATAAAATTCTATAATAAAATTTATTAAAAAATATTTGTAAAATTTTAATTAAATCTTTAAAAACCATATTTGATAATTCACTTTATTTAGTGTTATACTGTATAACTTATACACGTAATATTCACATTATATTATTCATATTAACATATATACTGTATATGTGATATTTCAAGAGCTGTTTTATTGATGATAAAGACATAGAAATAATGGCAAAAAGTCTTATTGAAGAACTAAACCTAACGTTGGATAAGACATTGATTGATAGGATAGAAGAAACTTCACAACCATTGCTGGAAAAGATCTACGACTGCGATGCTATCAAAAGTATTGTCTATACCGGAGAGATCAACGACAAAAGCAAGTCGTTTGGCCAGAAAAGACTCAAAGATATCTACGATTTGAGACCAGTCTTAATGGATGTCTATACAAAAGCTGCAGCACTTGGCAAACATGAATACGAAGACATTTACTTTTTCAAGCAATGTTTGGGTGTTTTTAATGAAACAGTTGCCGAAATTGTCGACGAAATGTCAACAGTATTTGGTTCTCAAATCAAACAAGATTTAGACGACAAACCTATCAGTGAAACAATGGCAGAGTATAAGAAACATTTGTTGTCGTCGGCTAACAGCGGATCGCTGACCAAACTATTGGCTGCAGTTATGCCCACAGCTATCGTACCGATGGAAGTGGCCTATCATTTGCATCGCAGACAAGGTTTCAAACAATTGAATCCATTCTTTCAACTTCTTATGTCACAGAAAATCAATTTGCGTACCATTTATGATGAGATGAGACAAATCATTAATGGATATAAAGTCAACGCTAGTGAGGAACAGGAGCTCATAAAGTTGTATAACAAAAGTATTTCATTTGAACTCAATTTGCTTGAAAATCAAATGAAATAAATAAATTTTAAAAAAAAATCTGCAAATTTCAATGCAATTTCTAAATTATTAATTGATTTTTATTTAAAATTTAGTTTTATATAATGAATATTACTGTTGTATTAATATTGAGATATGCTTTAAAATTTAATAAAGTAAAATAAACTTTTATTATTAATTATATAAATGTTCAATAATTAGTAATAAGATATAAGTACTGTACAGTAGTAATACATAATTAATTGAAAGTCAACTCATATTTTATAATTGACAATTTAATATATTTAATTACCGGTAATAAATTATTAAATATTTGGCTCAACTCAAAATCAAGTATTGAAATTTATTTAATTAGAAAAATTAAATTGTAATTTGAATTTAATGTTTTAATTATTTTTATGTACTAATATGCAATACCTATATATTAGTTACTTCATCTGAAATTTATTACATTACGACATGTTATACAAACTTTTTTTCAAATTAATAATTATATTAAATTGTTATTAAGTTAGATTACAAACTACTAAAATTGTGAAAACATATTTATTTGAAATTTAAAAAAATATAATTCAATGAAAATAAAAAATAAATACAACAAAAACTTGTATTCAATTAACAAATAAATGTTTAAAAGTTTTTCAATGCATTCAATGAACTGACAGTCAAGTCATACAACAATCATATGTTTGACACAAATGTTTGTAAACAATGATTGAGTTATGAAAAGCGTTTCAATGAATAGACATATGATTTGATTTAAAAAACAAAACAATGGACTATATGTGGGATCAACAGCTGATCCCATTCAGTGATATCAACTATGATCTCTATCGTAACACATCGACACCGATTGTTATCGATTGGGGCGCCTATTGGTCACGGGTTGGCTTTGCTTCCGCTGTCACCGATTGTCCGCAACTGATCTTTCGAAGTCTGATATCAAAACAAAGGGCTAAAAAAGACTCTGAAGTATTGGTCGGCAACGATATTGTCGACATCGAAGCCGTCAAACGTGTCTTACGATCGCCATTCGAGTTGGATGTGGTCACACAATTTGATTCAATGGAAACCATCTTCGACTATATGTTTGCCAATCTGGCCATCGATACGACTCGTGTCGAACATCCGATTATCCTAAACGAGGCCTTTTGTACACCACTTTGGTCTCGAGTTAACACTCAAGAGTTGATGTTTGAATGCTATGACATACCATCGCTGCTCTTAGGCGTCGATTTTCTATTCAGTCTTCACCACAATTTACCCGAAATCAATAACTGTCTCATACTATGTATGGGTCACTATACTTGTCATATCATACCAGTGATCGACGGAACCGTTTGCAGCCAACAGTCGTCACGAATCAATTTGGGTGGACTTAATCTTAGTCTTTATTTGCAGAGATTAATGCAACTAAAGTATCCAAAGCTGACACAAGAGTTTACGTTTACAAAATGTGAACAAATGGTCCAAAGGTTTTGCAAATTTTCAACCGATTATCACTCGGAAAGCTATTACTGGAGTGAAGATTCTTATTACGACAATAATGTCAAACGATTCAAAACCGTACAATCCGTGAACACAACAACCGAACAGTCAGTTGCCGAAGAATTTGTTCAACGGGCTCAACGTCTTCTGAAAAAAGTTAAAACCAATTATAATAAAAAAAGAGAAAAACAGGTAATTATAACAACAAATTGTTTTATTTTTCTTTGACAAACAATTTAATGATTAATACTATCGTTTTGTAAGCTATCGGAATGGGAAGAAAGTCGAAACAAATTGAAAACATTATTGGAATTAGTCGAAGACGAAGAGTTAGCTGAACCGGCATTGATTGCAGTGAGTGTACTAATTGTTGTATCAATTACCGGTAATTTATTTTTTTGGTTAATAATTAGTATCTTTTTTTGATGGTAACCCTAAAATAGAAAGCCTATCAAAATGCTGGCGTAAAAAATTTAAACGAATTGAGAAACAAATTAAACGAATTGAATGTCAATATTAAACAAATCAAGACTCAACTGAACCCAAAGGCAGCGTCTGAAGAGACGGTTATCGATGAGATCATTAAATGGCAAAATCAATGTCCATTTGATGAACAACAATGGAGTTCATATGTTAGACAATTGAGAGCCAATAAAATTGGCGAAAATGCTTGGCTTCTGAACGAATTGTTGCGAGAATACGAACTCGAATGCAAACGACTGAAAGGACACCACGGAGTGGCCGATAATGTCATCGAATTTGGAGCCGAACTTATTCGGGTTCCAGAATTGTTTTTCTCTCCCGAAGCACTTATCAATTATTCTCAGTGTGGTATCAGCGATGCCATCGAAGAATTGGTTAAAAAATTAAACAATCCCGAGATTAGTGAAGTAATTATTATTTTATAGTATTTATAATATCATTAGATAATTAATAAATCAATTATTTTACAAATTTATGTTATTTTTCAGACACTTTTTATAACCGGCGGCTGCGCTAACATTGAAGGTATTGTCGAAAGAGTAGCTAAAGATGTGACAGCTATGAGACCATTTGGTACACCACTTCATGTCATCAAAGCTGGTAAGTACTGTACTATACTATACTTTAACATCAATTTTATTATTATTATAAAAGTTAATATACAGTATGATTATTATATTGTAGACTACTATTTAATTTTAAATGTTTAAAAAATATATAATATACAATAATTAGAAAAATAATATGATACTTTCAATTGTGTTATATTGATAATTAGATTCAATATTATTATGATAATAATTTTCATTATACAATATTTACATGAATTCAGTTACAATATATAATTAATAATAAAATATATAATTATTTTTTTAGCCAATCCATCATACGATGCGTGGAAAGGCATGAGAGACTTGAGTGGTGATCAACTTTCCGATAAGTTTGTGTCAAAACAGGAATACTATGAATTTGGTGCCGGATTTTTGAAACAATTTAAGTGTTCAAATAGATATATTGTTTAAAATTATTTATTAAAAAAATCATTTAAATAATCATCAACTACAGTATAATATATTATTTATATTTTACAATAGTAATCAAACAGTTCAAACTATAATTGACTAAATAATCTTATATTTTTCGATATAATTTATTTTCATATACACGTATTATATATTTATATTGTATATTATTTATTAATTCATGGATTTTTAAAATATTTATTAAATAATCATCGATATTTATTTTTTTTTAAATTAAATTAATTATTACATTTGTAAATATACCATAAAACAAAAAATGTTTTGAAAATAATATAACGTAAAATTATTTATATAAATAATGAAAATTGCATTATTTACCAAAATAAACAATATCAAAATCATAAATAAAATTATTTATTAATAAAAAAACAAATTTATTTGATTTATAATTATTTATTTTTTTTAAATTAAAAACTTATTTAATTATCAATTTATTTGAATACAAATACTGTATTACTTTAGGGTTTTTCTATTGAATGCATATATTGTGTAACGATTTCATTGAATGAATGGATAATAATAAAAGTGTTGTAATAATAGTCAGTGAATGAGTTGTCAAACATTTGAAGACAATATTTATTCAGTGATTTGTTGGACACACTGTTGTCGTGACCGCCGCACGTGTTGTGTGTCATCGATATATCAATTGACAAAATGTCTGAAACCAATGTCGACTATCTTCTTGAAAAGTTTACCATCGCTGAGATTGTCGAGATTAAGGACAAACTTAAGACAGACATCGACCGCAAAAAACAAGAACTAAAACAACTGGTCGGGTATGAGATATCATATATGATTGTCGATCGGCCATTGAATCAATTAACCGATGATTTATTTGTTTTTTAAACTAGTGAACGATATGGCGATCTGATCGAAGCGGTCGATACCATCAAACAGATGAACCAAAGTGTCGATAATGTGCTGAAGTCGTTGCAAGTGCTGAACAATAGCCAATCAAAACACCGAATATTAGCGCCGAATCGCCATTACTCTTCAGGCCGTCGTTTGGATGGAATCGATGCCGACGACGACCGCAAAAGAGAGTTCGCTCTCAAGAGATATCGATGCGGACTAGTCTTGAAAGTGATCACACAATTGCCGCTAACTGTACGTCAAAATTATTATTAATTATAATAACGGGTTTAAGTCTTGTTTTTTTATTTGCTTACCATTAGATATGGACAGCCATTGAAAACGATAATCTATTGGTCGCCACTTATAACTATTTTTATGGACAACACTTGTGCGCACTGTTTGAACAATTAGTGGCCGAGAGTGTGACACCGAAATTATTTATTAAATACAGGACTGCTATTAATCGTTTCAAAGAAATAATTGTCGAGAAGTGCTGGGACTACGATAGGAAGAGTTCATTTCAAGATAATGTAGTCGATTCTACCAGTGCTGACATATTTTGTTGTCTACTATTGTTACAGAATATATCACCGAAAGAAGTGTTTATTTTATTTCTCGATAAACGAAAATCATATTTAAATGACTGTTTTAACAACAAATTTGATTTGAATCAAAAGTTACACTATTTTATGAATTTATTGTTTAATACAATCAAATGTATACATTCAGTGTTCTTCAGCAGCGTTGGTGGCGGCGAACTCAAGACTAAGACATTATTGCATCAAAGATACGAACGATTTACAAAACTTAGCTTTGAATCGGATTTTATTAAACAACGAAACTTATCTAAAGAGTTAAAGATCGGTATCACTGAGTTTAAGATCAATTCAAAACCTGTTATTGATTTTATTGATCAAGAAATGCTTGCAAATGAAACTAAAACCTGGATTTCAGACATCAAATCATTGTTAGAACCACTTCTGAGAAATACATTTGAGTCAATTCATTCTGTAAATCAAATCTGTGTTTTGTTAAATGAAATCAATTTATATTTGATTGAAAGTCACAAACTAAATGATTGGGAAAATTATTGCGAAGACCTTATGACTAACTATTTGCCAATTTGGGACCACTTTGTTATAGTTTATGTGATCCAAAGGATTAAATTTATTATTAGTGCAAATATTAGCAAAACAATAGAATTGTTTTCGGAAAAGTTTCGCCAATTTATATCGGATCCCAACATAAAAAGCAAAGACTTGGAAGTGATTGACTTTGTTTGGGGCGAAACTGAATATAATTCGTTGAGTTTGTCAAAGAAAAGTTTTGCACAAATCTCATTGATTGATGACTTTTGTCGAGATTTTGACACTTCGCTCGCATATCTCTTGAATGACATCAAAATTATCAAAGAATTTAACTTTAAATTAATCAAAACTAACGATTTAGACGATATTGAATCACATTTAGTGAATACATGTTATTCGATGATAGAAGACATCAAAAAACAATTGGAGTCAATTGATCCGTCATTAGATAAAGACGATGTAATCGATATATTTAGCGCACAATTTTTGCGCCAATTGACACAATCGTGTCCTCATTTTACACAGTGTTTTGAAACCTTAACGCCAGTCAAACTGCATTCATGGTCTAAAACAAAAGATCTGTTACTTTCCTACTCTTATACATCTTATAAAAGAATATTTGAGACAAAAATCAAACAACTCTTCAGCGATACCACTGGCGATAAGTTAACCGATTTGAATGAATTCATTAATAATAGCTTTATTTGGGATAAGATTCAGACCAAAGAGGTTTCAGATGAAGGCAAAGAAATTATTTCAAAGATTGAAGTTCCGCTCCAATTGTCGGCTTTCCTTCACAAACGTTTGACACAATTGTGTAACGAAATCAATAAACTGATGGCCCATACAATACCGCGAGTAGTAGTCATCGACGTATTGTCGGCATTGAATCAACAAATAACACAAACATATACCGGTGCTCACGAGTGTCTGTCCACTAAAGACTATTCGGAAAATATCAAACAAGTATATGCATTGCAATTTTATTTTGAATTGTTATTCATTAAACAATTGTTGGGATCAACTCATGACGAAACTATCAAAAGTAAAGAGATGACCAAAACCAATGAATTAATGAAAAAATTTGAAACATTCATTGATCCGTTTGATTTGCACGTGTTCTACCCGCACGTACAGACCAATGTGGCCAAACTGAGCGCCAGTACGGCCGTAACATTTGGCCTATTGCTTCCCGATGCTATCAATATGACATCAGACATCAAATCTAAGCAACAAACAAGTGGTGGAAACAATGAGTTGCATAATATAATGCTATTTCAAAGCACACAAAAGGCGTTTACATTGTTAAACGTCAATTCATTATCTAAAAAGTGATAACAAAAAAGTAGGTAATTATCAGTTGAAAAATTGTTTTTTGCGTGAATTTTTTCATAATATAATTCAAAATAATTTATAATTTAATGTGTAATCTAAAGCGTATTTGTTTGTTAATAATTATTTTTTTAAGATTCAAAAGAGATAAATAAATAATATTTATTTTAAACGATTAAGACTTTTGTAACAATTTTTTAAAACAATTCCTCACATTTTTTTTGCTTTTAATTAAACAAATGAGTCATTAGTGTTATACTGAAAAACATTGATTCAAATTAAATCATATACTGCTAAGTCATACAATAATAAAAATAATATTAATAATTAATAGTTATAAAGATATATACTGTAAATTATTTAATTAAATTCAATAATATTCACAATCATATTGATAATTCCCATTTTAAATGATTTAATTGAATTAAAGGGAATGTATTGTTGTTTATGATAATTGATTCTGAAAACTTCAATAATTAATATTTAAATAATTATATTAACAATATATCGGATGATAATTATGAATATAATACCTCAGCAATCAATTTACGTAATAATAATAATAATAATTTCAATATCTTAGACCAGAACCACTCGTATTAGTCGTATTACCAGTTGATCCAAACTGTTGGCTCATAGCCTGTCGCGCGGCACCGGCAGCTGCAGCACTGGCCGCATGTTGTACCGTTTCATTCCTCAGCACTCCCTGTGTGAACTCCTGCTGTGCCTTTTGCATACTGGCTCCCGTCGATCTGTATATGCTGTGAACCTAATTTAGTTATTAATAAAAATCAAAATATAGGGTTCAGAATCAAATGGTTGTTAACAATAATTTTTTTTATCGGGACCTTAATTAAGACCAAAAAGGAGGCCAAAGCATAGCAGGCCATCACTATTGCGCATAAAAATATAAATATATTGAAGATTACGGGACTGCCTGAGCTCCACTTTATCGCCAAAAATAAACCGCTGTTTAAACAAATAAAAAATAACAAAAAAATATAATATAATAAATAAAATAGAAAAATAAAAACAAAATACTCGATAATTTCATAATCATTAAAAAACCACACAAATTAAACATTAAATTCTAGATCTAATTCTGGTGATAATAATGGACTTTCATTTTTTTTTGTTTTGGAAACTCCTTTCCTGGTCTTTAATTTAATGGGAATAATAAGGATTTTCATATACAGTATAGGTTTTAATTTTTTGAACGATACCTTCATTAAGATATAACAAGAAGCTAAAGAATTAAGTGACCAACCGATTCCAATAATAAGATATAATATACCGATAAACAGATCTATATTATTGGTTCTCTTTGATATGACTATTAATCCATCAATAAATCCACTAAAAAAATTTATGTCAATTCATTTAAAAGTAAAAATATTTTTTTTTTGTTGCAAAATGATAGCACAAATTATATTTCATATATATTTTTTTTAAATAAACTAAACCAATACATACATTGAACCCATTCCGGGGATACCAATAGCACAGAGAACGACATAAACCAATTGACAGAAGAATACAAAGAAGAAAATCATAAAATTGAATGAACTGTCGTTTCTATAAATTAAAACAAAACAAATCAGTCATCAATAGTCTAAACATTTATTAAAATAATTTTTAAAAATAATTGATAACAAAATTTGTTTATTAATAAGTGATAAATACCTGAAAGCCTTATACAGAGGTCTGAACCAACAGATAAAAGAAAGCGGAGTAAAGAAGACGAGCGCCACCAAAGAAAAGGCAAATATACCGCCAGAGTTGGCAATATCCTCACACAAAGCTGCCAGTGCTCCCAACACATTGATAAATAGGACTCCAACATATGCTACAAATTATATTATACAATATATGTAAAGACATGGATTAAATCAATAGCAAAAAACATCACACTTACAGATCCATAGATAATAAACATAACGAACAATCTTCTGAAACTCTACCGGAATCTCGACATTAATGTCCTGATAGAAACACGGCGTCACCGGACAAAAGGCCGGTATCGGCGGCCAATTGTTTTCACGTTTCACACCATTGCCTTCGATTCGCAATCTTTCCTCTCTCTCGGCCAGTTCGGCCTCTCGTCGATCCAATTCTTCTTTTTGTTTCTGCAAGTGATCAATGTTGACAGCAGCTGATGGATTATAAGGGGGCGGTGGTACGGGTGCCATATTGTTATTGTTGGACATCGGACCCACTGAGGATGTGTTTATCACTGCCGGCTGTGGACTCACAAGAGGTGGATTTGTGGCGCCTCTTACCGACTGATAAGATATCAATTAACAAAAAAAAGTTGTTATCATTTTGTTTACCACAGAAACAAAAACAAATCATACATTTGTAGGTTTTGTCGTCTGATTTGCGAATGGGTTATAATCTTCAAGACCAGAGTCGCCGTTAACGGTAGGCTTATTGGTTGCCGAAGTTATCGACGGATCCTATCAATTGAACAAATAAAACACAAACAAAGACAACAAATATATATACAGGAAAATGAGTCAATAGGAGTGATAAGACAACTATAATCACATTCATGTCATAATAATAATAATAATTACCGAAAACGGATCGCCAAACGGACTGTCATTGAAGCCGGACATGACTTTAATCAGGAGGTGTGGTGTAGTGTCAACTAATGGTCACTGTATTGTCACTCTTGTCTATGATCTTATGATTGTATTGTATTGTAAACGTTGTGTTGAAGACAACAACACTTCAATCAAATGGCTAACTCTTATCTCTTCTCAAACAGTGATTACAACAGATGTTGTCATTAGTAGTGAAGCACTCGTTTGAGTCAATAATGTAATACTGACTGTTAGTGTTGTTGTGTTTGACAACTGATTCACTCAATGTTTTAGTCACACAAACATCACTGCATTTACTGTATATATAAACTCATAAGTTGTTAATACAAAACAATTGTTACGAAAATCCTATTTGTATTAAACCCCTCCACAAAAAAAAAATTGAAAATGTATTAAACAATAATTATTATATTGTTATTGTTTTTTCAGTTCCCCTTTACTTTCCTAAGAAATGTAACGATTTTTATGATTTTTTTCTTTTAAAAAAAGTTAGTTTTATTTATTTATTAAAAAAACATTACATTTATATTTTGAATACATTTTTTTTGTTATTTCTATCAATAAAATACATTTATAGTATATTTTTCGATACAGTATTTCAATAATACTATTGCTGTTAATAGTGTTGTTATGTATGTGTAGACAGACAGTCAAACACATGATATGTTAAGGCGTGTAATGAGAAATGCCTTAACTGTTTGAAAACTATACACAAAAAATGATTTCAAATAAAAAAAATGTTTTTGTAATATAAATAATTTATTTTATATATAATTTTATATCATAATTGTTGTTAATTAAGTTTTTTATTTTATTTATTATATGGTATGATATGTTTTAAGTGCCATAAGTAATATAGTTGATAGTATTTAAACAAATGGTTTTCAATATTTATTTATTTATTTTTATATAATATATTAATGTATGTTTCATATGACACATATCAGTATTGGTGATCAAAAAAAAAGTTTTTTATTTATTATTTTTATTTATACACAAAATAACTTTTTATATACACTGTATATAAATAAATGCATAGGATTTTTGTCATCAAAATAACATATAAATACATTAAACAGTGATTTTGAAACAACTTTTTATTATAATTAAAGAATATTTTCTTTTATAAAAAGATTTAATACAAGAATATTCTGGTTTATAATATAAACAACAAATCCAAAGACAAACTTATTATTTATTTATTTTAATGTCTCATATCATGTCTTCATTTATCTGCAAATGTGTGAACAATAAGTACTGAAACAAAAATGAAAGAATTGAAACAAAAAGGCAAAGTTGTGACCAATAATTTGGTCCAATTCTTGTCGGGAATTGTTATTGGATTTACTATTTGTTCACAAATGACAACATTTCGCTACCATTGGACAGAAAGTCCGTTTTGTTCGGGCAATCAAAATCGCTATCAATTGGACGACAAGATTGCTGAATTGGATCAGTTAGTCGACAGTATTAATAAGAAAAGTGATGGCCAAAATTTGGTGCTGATTGGTGTGATGACTGCTGAGAAATATCTGGACACTCGGGCCCTATCGATATACCAGACTTGGGCTCAGAATCTCAAAGGACGGATCATATTCTTCTCGAGCTCGTCGTCGAGGTATTAGTTTTGGACATCAATTGTAAAAGTTTTAACTGAAACTAAAATTTTATTTTATTATATGAAAAAAGGTCTTCACATGGTTTACCACTTGTTGCACTTCCGACTGTAGACGACTCATATCCGCCGCAGAAAAAGTCATTTTTGATGTTTAAATTTATGAGCGATCACTTCATAGATAAGTTTGAATATTTTATGAGAGCTGACGACGATGTCTATGTTAACACCGAAAAATTGGATCAATTTCTGCGATCAGTGAACAGTTCGAAACCACAGTTTATAGGTCAGGCCGGAGTCGGCAATAAAGAGGAGTTCGGACGGTTGAGTCTTGAGTCCAATGAAAACTTCTGTATGGGAGGACCCGGTGTTATCATGAGTAGTACTACACTTGAAATATTTGCCAAACGAATACCCTATTGTCTAAAACATCTGTACTCGACTCACGAAGACGTGGAAATTGGTCGCTGTGTTCGCCATGCGGTCGGCATTCCCTGCACATGGAGTTATGAAATGCAGCAAATCTTACAGCACAACATCACTCATGAGTTATTAGTCAAAGAAGGCACTGTTAGCGCCAAACAGCTGAACAAACCGATTACAATACATCCCATTAAACAGCCATCGACTATGAGAGCACTTCACAATCACTACAAGAATATTGAACATCAAAAGACTAGACACGAGTTGAATCAATTGTATCGCAACTTATTTAAGACAACCAAATATCTTAATATAACTGTCGATGATATTCTTAGCAAACTTAACTCCAAGTATTTGACACCAATTCTATTGGGACAACCAATTGATTTCAATAGTCTAACGAAACGTCCGTTTTATAAGGAATGGGATTTTATATCACATAATCTATTTTCGGCCACAAATATTAATCCAAAGAGACATATAGAAAGTCATATTTGGCGATCCATTGAAAATAGTATTCAAGATATTATGGCTAATATAAACAGACAGTCCAAACAAAAGGGTCGAACTATGGAATACAAGAATCTCTATTATGGATATATGAGAGTAGATCCACTGATTGGCGTTGAATACATATTGGATCTGTTATTAGTCTACAAACGATACCGCGGACGGCGTATGGTAATACCTGTGCGCCGACACGCATACGCTGTCCAAACGTTTTCACAAATGCAAATACGTGAGATGGACTCGTGTAACCAAAAAGAAATAGTCAATATAATAGTTCCACTATCCGGAAGAATCGAAGCGTTTATAAGATTTTTAGATAATTTCAAAGAAGTTCACACCAAAGATCCGTTTATTAGTCTTGCAATTGTCTCGTTTCCAGACGTTGGTCAGACATCTGACCAAATGAATCAATTGCAAGCTCTGCTAAGTGATCTCAAAAGATCTGGAATTGACATACAAGTGGCTCAATTGGCCGGTTTCTTCTCCCGAGCCGCTGCTCTCCAAAGAGGTTCGTCAATGTTTCCCAACGACTCGTTGCTTCTCTTTCTCGATGTGGACATGCATTTCACGGACCAAGTGATAGCTCGTGTGCGACTCAATACTATTCACGGCAAACAAATCTATTTCCCAATTGTTTTCAGTCAATACAGTCTGAAGTTTATCTCTGAAAGCAATGTGAATAACGTTGATATATCTGGAGAAAGAGGTTATTGGAGACAATTCGGGTTCGGTATTGTCTCCATATTTAAGAGTGATTTACAATCTGTCGGTGGATTTAATGTGTCTATTCATGGCTGGGGTATGGAAGATGTCAATCTATATGATCGGATAATTCACAGCAATTTTACAATATTTCGAAGTATTGATCACCAGTTGGTCCACATTTATCATGACATTCATTGCGATCACTCGCTGACATCGATCCAGTATGAGATGTGTTTGGGAACAAAGTTGTCGAGTTTAGGTTCGGTACAAAAGTTGGCCAAATATATCAATCAAAATAAGTTCCTAAAGTTATGACCCAAAAAATATTATATATTATATAATCTAATCAATGAACCAAATATTTTGTTGATATTGTTGATTACTATATGAAATAATACTGTAATATGCAATGCCTTAAAAATAATTCTCTCTATTTATCTATTTTTTAAATTTGTTGCAATCATTAGTCACAATTTATTTTTAATTTAATATATCTTTACGTTATTATATTTTAATTATTTAATATTGAAAAAATCTTTATTACAATTTTGCTTAATTTTTATTTATTCATATTATATTTTCTTACTTAAGTTATTATTTTTTAAAATTTAATATATTTATGTTAATTACTTAATCAAATCAATTAGTTTTGTTTAATTGATGAAAGCATTTATTTTTTAATTAATACTAACTTAAAGTGACTTAAAAACAAGCAATTATTATGCAATTTATTGTTAATTTATACATTTAAATCAAAGCCATTTTACAAATAAACCCAAATGTTATTTAAATAATAAATTAAAAATAATTAATAATAATAATTAAAAAAAAAGAGATCCTTGATATCAAATGAAAAATTTATGATACATTTCTGTGCGAATTATGAAACCTGAAGAAGTTGTTTGGGACCCGTTTTGTACATTCGGGTACATTCTCGACCCAATCGCATAAATTGGTGGTCGGATTGAACACTGTCTTCGCCGGACAGCTGTAGGGATACGGCAAAAACAGACCGTCTTTTGGTGTTTGAATACATCGATAGAACTTTTGACAGTCGGTTTGATGCTTGAAAATACCGGGTCCTGGACAGACAAAGTTATCTGGATTTGGCGGTCCACCCCATGAGGGCGGTGATGGCGGTCCCCATGAGGATGGCGATGATGATGGTGGTCCCCATGACGATGGAGGCGAAGAAGTAGAAGATGATGAAGGACTTGGATCTTCTTCGACTTCGTGACCGGGTGTTGATGAAGTTATAGGTGTCGATGGAGATGTCATCTCTTCGGCTTTAGTAGGAGTTGAACTTTGATGAACAGGATGTGTCGGTGCCCACGACCAGTGACTTGATGATGACGATGAAGAAGTGGGCTGCCACCATATGACTGAACTTACGGAAGGCTGCTGCGGCCACCACGTCGATGATTGACTCGATGGTGATGGTGTCGATGACGGTCGTGGCCACCATGTCATAGAAGTAGATGGCGTAGACCATACCGGCCAACTAGACGATGCGGTGGTTGATGATTGCGCCCAAACCCATGGCTTTGCAGTTGTTGTTGTTGTCGTTGATTGAGTTACAGGTTTGTTAACTTCGACATCTTCAGAATCCGATGGCTTTGGCAAAGGCATTACAATTTCATTACTTTTGAATACTTTGTTGATTGCATTCAAAAGTGGATACTTTTCACCGCATTTGCCTTCAAATAACAAAAAAATAAATAATAATTTTTAAAAATATGAACAAAAAAATCTTTCTGAACGTTAAATTGATTTTCTTTGACTGATACCCTTGAAGTCATCCGTTTCAATGGACCAAATCATACCACCGCCCAATTGCATAGCTTTTATATACTGGGCTTTCAATGTAATACTGTCGACATCGTCATAACCGAACCATTGTCTGTCAGTGTAGGCATACGGCGCCATATAATAAGGATCTCTGACTTCAGTCATCGTATTCTTTCGACTCTTCATTTCGCAGATCTATTGAAAAATTTGAATTAAAATACTACAGAACTTAGTGTTCAATTAAACCAATCACTTACCTCATTATAACCGAGTGAACCGGGCTCTCTGGTATAGGGTCCGGCCTGACCTTTTTGTGGTGCCGGTGACCACAAACCATTATTTTCGGCTTTTTGTAGTGTAAAAGATCGCCCATAAGTACCCATTCCCAGTACTATCTTACTTCTTGGAGCGCCTTTAGATATCCAGTAGTTTATTGAATAATTCTGTTAAATATTTTATTATCATTACTATCATTATTCAAATAGATTTAAGATTATAACAATTTTATTATCATTATATTAATATTAATATATATATATTTCAATATACAATTAATCTAAACACTAACCACATTGAGTATCTGATCACCAGCCGGTTCATCGGGACGACCATATAAGGGAGCGTTATGTCCTAAAATGCAACGGTAAATATGTGTAACAGTTATACGTTATTTGATTACAATTTTTTTTCTGTATATATATACTGTATACCAGTTTTATCTTCCCAACCACCATGATAATCATAACACATCACATTGATTAGATCCAAATATCTAAATTAATAAAAAAAATTATTTATTTCTTATTATAGATTATTATTTTATATTTTGCAGACTTACTGGGAAACCATAGGAATATCATAGGCCGGATCAATGAATAGTTTACCGGCCGATACAGCGGAGGTCAACAAATAGCCTTTCGGAGTAAACGCCGCTTTCAGTTCTCGAAGAAGTTCGACTAAATTGCGTTTGTCTTCAGGTTTGCCTCCTCGAGAACCGGGATATTCTGGAAATGATTTTTACAAACAATTGATAAATTGAGACACAATGTGTACATCAATTACTATCCCTTACCCCAATCGAGATCGAGTCCATCAAAACCGTATCTTTCGATAAACTCAACAACACTGTCGACAAATATCTTTCGCGATTCGGGTCTGGAAGCCATCATCGAGTACTTCATGGATCCCTCATTCCAGCCGCCGATGGCGATCAATGTTTTCAATTTTTTATTAACATTTTTCAATGAATTAAACCTAAGAAAAGCTCCCTTTCCGTAGTTTTCTTTCAAATCATTGTATGGATCTAACGGTCGGATTCGATAATCGTTACTCAAACCGGCAAAAGCATAGATTATATGACTAGAAGTAAATATATAAAAATTATTTATTAATTTATACTTCTATTTTCCTCCATGGTAATTTTATTATCAATTAGCTAACCTGCACAAGAATGGATCAATTTCTTCGACGGGAAACTTTCCATCACCCGGTCTATAGACAGACCAACTTCCGTAATAACATACCAACTTGTAATCACTGGAAACTTTAGATATAAATTATTATTAGTATTATTGTTATAAAAAGTTAAACATTAAAATCTATTGAAATTATTATTAATTTACTAATAAAGTAAATATGTTTTTATAAATTAATTTATGAACAGTTAATTTTTAAAATGCAAATAAATAATTATAGATTTAAATGATTATAAGATAAAATTAATACAATACTATTGATAATAAAAAGTATATTTCTATAAATTAGTATACATAACAAATAACTTCAAAATTAGAATTTAAAAAAACTATTTTTTATATGAATTATATAAACTTATTGATTATAAAAAAGTAAAAGTCTATTATTTTTTTAAAAATCTACTAAAAAGTCAATACCTGAGTTAGAAGTGTGGTGTTTATCTTCGACTTCATGGTCCGGAACGAGTTGAGGACATTGGGATAATGTTGGAAATATATTAATAATAATAAGACAAATAGCAATAGATATAAACTTTGTTAAAGACATATCTATTTGTCTAATTTTCACTAATAATAAAAAATAACTAAAAACTAAAAGTCTAATAGTTTTTCGTCACTCAACTCAGCCCGAGATCTATCAGTGAAATAACATTTGCTAAGTCTCTCTCCGGTCTAATATATATAGTCTAATCGGGTCTCACTCTGGAAGTGAAAGTAACCAAAAGTGCAAATTAAGTGAAAGTGCAAACACTTTTTCTGCATCCCATCCCATCCCACCACCTTTGAACTCATCATTAAAAAAGAGGGGTATATTAACACTACTATTGTTAAGGTTACTAAACTCATAGAGGCTTATATTTTTGTTTGGGTGAGGAATGTTATACAGTATTATTCAATTTTAATATTTTAATAATTTCATGCTTTCATAATAATATGATTTTTATAATAATAATTCAATAAGAGATAACTCCCATTCATAACTTGTATGAAATGTTATTTTTTCAATTGAAAAGTGAAGTTCAAGTTCAAGATCTTATATGAGTATTATTATAATTATATTATGTGAGAGTCTAACAACTTTTCAGTCACTTTCATCATCAGGAAGACATCCCTTATTATTATTATTATTATTATTATTCCCTAAACATAACCTCCAATTTGTTAAAAATGAATTATACTTTTTTTTGGAAACTATTTTTAGAAACATTTTTTTGTTTTATTTATTTATTTTTTGTGAAACACCTAACACTTGTCTAACTTCTTAAATACAAGTATTGTATTGTATTTTATTTTTTATATCTTAAGTCTCACAAGAATTAGAGACTTATGATTTGTAAAAAACAAATAATTGTATTATCATTGGATTAGATGTCTTGAGTGTAACCAAAAAAAATTAAGAAAAAATTATTTACTTTCTCTCTCTCTCTCTCTCTCTCTCTCTCTCTCTCTCTCTGACAGACAATCACTTTCATTCAAATGTCTGTCACTTTTTTTTAAACTGAAAATATTTCGGTTATTCTTCTTTTGTTTAGTTTTATGAACTCAAATATAGTTTGACAAACAAAATATTGATTAAAATTAAAATTAAAATTAATTTTATTTATTTAAAAAAAAATAAATAGTATTATTATAATTAATTTATAAAATCATTACTAATTATAATATATAAATAAATAAACAGATTTAATGAAAAATTAATTGGAAATAAACTATTTATAAAGTGAGTCGAGTTGTGTTTGAATTGCCTCAAGATTTTCATATAAATTCCACAGCTCTTTGCGGTCCAAGTCTAGTGACAGATGATTATCGGTTTGGCCATTGGTTTTGAGTGTCAAATCCAATTGAGCCAACGGTACGACATCTTTATATTGTCGACAGCTCTGATTAGTCAACAATTTGACGGACCAATTGACATCAGTTAGTCGACTGTTTGATATATCAAACGATTTGTCCTTAAATCGGTCGACAATCGCTGGCAAATGAGTGCTGCAAATCTCGGCAAATGCGACCACCTTTTCGGTATCCAAACCTAATTCTGTCAGCTCTTTGGCTATAACTCGAGGTTTCATTAAATGGTAAACTATTTGTCGGAGCAAATAGTGAACTGTTTTAACAATTAGTTTGACATGTCTTATATCAGACACCACTAGAATTGGTATTAGTTTAGCTTCTTCTTCATCTGAAAATATTTGGTCAAAATTTTCATCCAATTTGTCGGCAATTCTGATCACAAATTTGCTAAACTTTGACAAATCAATGCCATTCATTAAGTCGATCGCTTCGCTTATCCTAAAAAAAAAGTTTTAATATATGTGTGAATTTTAATTTTAATTTTTATAAAAAATAGTAATGCATTAAATAAATAAAAAATAAAATAAAAGTTGTTATAAGTTATAAAGGAGTTTTGATAACAACTAAACAGTAATTTGCTAGAAGTGATGGGTTTGTACTGCAAACCCACTGTAGGGCAACAGTCAGTGTCTCATTTACCCCATAATTCAATGACCTAAACATAAATGCCATCGAAAGAGAGGTGCCATCAATCTTATCAGAAAAATTGATTTTTTCTTGTTGTTGTTATTATTATTATTGAGATCATCATTATTACTATACTGTACTGTAATTTTATAAATTCATAAATATAATGATTGTATGTATCAATAAACAAAAATTTTTATCTCAAGTCTAAAACCTTAAATGAAAGAAAAGTCTTTGAATTTTGTTGATCCCATAAAAAAGTTGTTGTCGTAGTTGTTTGACTGTTGACTGATTCTCTCCCCAATCATTCATTGAAGACATTAAACCTGATGTTAGGGTCAAACAACTTATGTATTAAAAAAAAAGAAAACAAGATTTCTAATACATTATGTTTTTTATTTTGAATGAATCAATGAATGAATGAATTGCATGAACAGGATTTTAAGGTATCAAATGATTAGGTGATTATGATTTTCAATGAAGTATTCAATGAGTTAAATGTAAATATCATTTAAATTTTTTTTATATAACATATTTTCTAAATAATAATTTTGTGATAACTTTAGGCTACAATTTCTGGGAATAATATGTAAATTATTATTATTATAATTATAATATATTAATATTTTATCGTCCAATAAAAAACCGTATAAATAACATTTATTAGAAAATTGTATGCATTAGTTGTGTCATCAAACTTTATATATTTTAAAATTTAAATCCATATAAAATTTATATAAATAATATTACTATATTTTTTATAAGTTATAATACTGTATAAATATTGATATGATTGTCTAATAATTATACATATTTTTTTTAAAGTTCAAAATACCGTATAACTTATCATAATTTTACGTTATATGAGTAGAGAGTCTTAAACAGCAGCGGCGGCGATGCTATTAATTACAATTATCTGGTCAACAATAAATTTGATTAAAAAGTGACCAATGGCAATGTTGTATAAAATTTTAAACTGAATAAAATTGTAATTGGTCATTTTTAAATAAATTGTATGATTGGCCAGATAATTTATATTCGACTGTTTAAAAAATTTATAAATGATAGTCGACTGCAATTATCTGGCCAATCATATAATTAGTTAAAAAATGACCAATTACAATTTTATTTAGTTTAAAATTATCTACAACATTGCCATTGGTCACTTTTTAATCAAATTTATTGTTGACCAGATAATTGTAATTAATAGCATCGCCGCTATCATCGCCGCCGCCGCCGCTGTTTTAGACTCTCTGTTATATGAGTTTAAAAAAATATATAATTGAAATCATTTTATTTTCAAGCGATATAGTTTAGTTTACTGCTATTTATTTATTTATTTATTTAAATAAACATAAATATAAATTAGAAAACTAACCTAGACACTATTATAAGATATTATATATATATCATATTATATTTTAATTTATATATTAAATAAAATTATTATACAGTATCTCATAAATGATATCATACTATTAATGCTAAATGATATACAGTATAATAATAATAATAAGATATTTTTAAAAAGTTAATATTAATATTATACTGTATAAGAATGATTAAACAATTTTTTAAAATAAAATAATATCACCATGTACAGTTCAAATATTAATAAATAGCTACATATAAATATTATAATACAAACAATGCTATTATATTATTGAATAAAAACATAGACTTACTCCGGTGTTTTGAAAAACATTTTTTCAATAGTAATTTATTATTAATTATTATAATCCAATTATATAAATCAATTATTAATCAACATTTAAATTACAATCACTGTAAGTATTGTAAATATTTAAGTATCAATAATTAAATATAATAATAAAACTTAGATATTATTTGTCAAAAATTATCAAATTTTGATTTGTTTTGTTATGAAATTATTGTTAAATGCATTACACATATTAATACAGTATATGCTATTATATTAATATTAACAAATTGATACCCCTCTAGTATATTAATATAATATAAAATTTATCATAATTTATTCAGATATCGTTGAAATATTAAATTTTTAAAAATAATTTGAGATTAATTAAAGAAAATGATCATGTTTAGATTTTAATCAATGTATTTTTTTTATATAAATATATCTACAAATATTTTTGTTGAAATTTACCCAAAAGTAACAGAGTATATGAAAGATATATATAATAGATAAATATAAACAATATTTTAAAGGGATTTTATTTTTTAACTATTTTTTTAGTTCAATAAATCTAATCATAATTAAGTTAATTAAAAAAAAATATATATTTTAATCATTATTAGTGTATTAATAGATTTCAGTGAAAATTTTATAATAAAAATTTAGATTTTTTTTTTAATTAGTCGACAAATACATTGAATGAATTGATTGAATGTATCGGTCGATGTGTTTGTCGTTATTAACGCAAAGTTTATCAAAAAGTTATCGCAAAATCAGTTTATCGTATCTCTGGTCATATGATCCTCTCTTTCGTAGAGTTCAACACAAAATCTTCAGACAATTGACGTCCAATATGTCCACCGAAAGTAGTCGTACGAAGTCATTGATAGCTGTGTGTCAGTTGACCTCAACTGACGACAAGGAGAAGAATTTCAATGTCGCCGAAAATCTGATCCGAAGTGCAGCCGGTATTGGCTGTCAAATGGTGTTTCTTCCCGAGTGTTTCGACATGATATGCGAAACGAGAGAGAAGACAATGGCCAACACTGAGCCAATAGATGGACCAATTGTTAGTAGATATAGACAACTGGCCAAAGAAGTCAATGTTTGGCTGTCTTTGGGTGGTTTGCACGAGAAGAAGACACATAACGACGACGGAAAGGCATTCAATGCACACATTGTTGTCGACAATAATGGATCCGTTGTTTCGGTTTACAGAAAAGTCCATTTGTTTAATCTTGAGATACCAGGAGTCATACGACTTGTTGAGTCGGAGTTTTCAACGGCAGGCGATAAAGTGGTGTCACCGGTTCAGACACCCATTGGTAGAGTTGGTTTAGGAATATGTTATGATATCAGATTTGCCGAGTTTGCCATATCTTTAGCTAAATCGGGAGCCGATATATTGACTGTTAGTGTTATGATTTATTGCATTTAAATATTTAATAATTTGAATTATGATTACCATTTGTTAGTATCCCTCGTCATTTACTATACCGACCGGTTCGGCCCATTGGGAGGTTATGTTAAGAACCCGAGCCATTGAAACCCAATGCTATGTAGTGGCTGCCGCTCAAACTGGTCCACACAACAAGAAACGATCATCCTATGGTCACGCAATGATTATCGACCCGTGGGGTGCTATTATTGGACAGTGCAATGACGGCATAGGCTATGCGGTGGCGCAAATTGATTTGAATTTCTTGAAAGACGTCCGACAAAAGCTTCCCGTTTGGAGCGACAGAAAACCACATCTCTATGGAAATATTATTCCGGCCGAAGATATTGAAGCAAAACTTGACAGTAATACTGACCAATCATTTCAATTCGGACCGACGGTTGTTGTAAAGCCGGAACAAATATTTTACAAAACTAAACAAACGGTCGCTTTTGTCAATCATCGACCAATACTTGCTGGACATGTATTGGTGGCACCCATTAGGGCAGCCAAACGATTGCAAGATTTGAATAGTACTGAGATAACAGACTTTTTTACTGTTGTCCAGAAAGTACAGAAAGCCATTGAAACCGAATACGATGCCAAAGCATCTACTGTTGGCATACAGGATGGTATCGATGCCGGACAGTCCATAGAGCATCTTCACGCTCATCTATTGCCGCGAAAACCTACCGATTTCGGCGGTAATGTAGACCAGTTGTGGGCTGAACTTCAAAAACATGATAAAACAGAACACAAATCAAAATACAGAGTTAGAACTGACGAAGAAATGTCCGCTGAGTCTAACAAACTTAAGAGTTATTTTTAGGAAACATTATTATTATTTGTTTTTTTTTGTTATCAAATAAATTGTTGTTTTAGTAAATTATTATTATTTTTATTATTTTGTGCTGACTTTCGATGATTGGCTGATGATAATCGGTTCAGATTTGCAATTAGGTTCGTGAATCCGCAATCTGTCGGCTAAGAACTTTCGGTGACATTTACCGCACGAAACCAATTGACTTTTGAAGCGCTCCAATGCAGTTGTAATTTCGTTATTATCACTTTTTCCTAAAATAAGTTCAGATTAGTTATTAATTAAAATAAAATATTAAAAATTTAAATTATATTACAATTTTCAATCAATACAAACCAATACTCAAACGTTTATTATTTGACTCGAGCCGACACTTGATCTCATGTAGTGTTAGTGAAGTTGTGCTATATCTTCGACCACAAGTATTGCAATCAAGAAATGTTGATTTGTTTACCGGTAGGTTTGTCCCGATATTGATATTATAGTTGTTTGAGGGCTTGACAGATGTTTTTATGCATCGCTTACCACCGATGCCAATGCCTCTGCAACTTCGTTCATGAACAGGTAGTCTGTGTGGAAAGAATGTGCGACAACAGTGTGGACAAGGGATCAGTTGTGACTTAAAATGTTGCCAATTATAGTCTTCTTCATTTGATTCAATATTTGTTATTTTGTCGTCTTCTTTCTATAATACATATTAAAATTAGTTTATTATTAATTAATTTACAATTTAATATTAAATTTATAACTAATTTAATTTAATTAATTTATAACTAATTTAATTAAATTAATTTATAATTAATTTAAACATTTGTCTCTAAGAGTTAAAAATTTACTTTTAATATTAATAATTTTCAGTTATTAATATTTTTAATCATGCGAATGATTAATTATAAAATGTTATGCACTTAAATTATTTTTCAAATGATCCAGCATAAATTAGAAAAATTTTGCATAAAATCCAAAAATATTTGCTCATTAACAATAGTTGATATTGTAATGAGTAGATTTTATCATTACTGTTATAACTATAATATATCCTATTTCTATACCGTTTCAATATTATTTTAATAGCATTGCCATTTATATCTGGAAAGTGTTGATTATTTAGATGTTTCATGAGAATTTTTGGGGTGAGTTACTCGCTTCACTTTCCATGCAATGATTTCACGTAAACCACTGGAATGGCCGCCACTATTGGCACAGTACTCCTGTAGTGGTTTAGGTTGTCTTAATTGTACATTGGGCACAATATTAGCTTTTACTACACAGTTATTAATACAATCTATGTCTGATTGATCGCAACTTAAGACATTACTACTTTTGCGGACCAATTATATAAAAGGTATTATCTCTGGTCCTGAGATTATTTAATTCAATTTGACCTTTACTATCAAACGAAACACTATTCAATGTTAAGACAGACTCATTGTTTTGAGAGTTAAGACTCGAAGTCTGTACCACTCGGGTCTGGTCAGAAGCTCTGAGACCAGTAAAAACTATTTTACTAGTTTGGTCACAAACTACACGTGACACTACTATAGTATACTGAAGACAGGACGATACAGTGTTATTAGCATCCATACAATGGCTGGCTAGTCGCAACAATTGCGCTAAAACAAACAAAAACCGACATTATCTCAATGACAACAAATGTCTAGTCGCAGCTATAAACTGGTAACAAAAAACATAACGATTGACTAGCTGGTCGTGCACTACCAACAATTGCCAACGAGAGAAGCCTCAAAGCCTCCCTCTAACCAAAACATGCAACTCAATACCCAATCTACTAGTAAGACTGAGTCTAATGGTCAGTACCATCACTCGGTACTACCGTCGGTAAAACCGGCGTATAGTCTATTCAAATACCCACTATAGGATAAGTAATGCTATACCCGTTGACCAACCCTGTGGCCAAACTATAAATCAGAGTCCTCTGACTCTGATGACATAACCATGGGATCGTCACAAGCAATCTCTGGGGGAATCTAACCCATCTATGTCTCTCCAGCCGTGCCTACCCGGCACTAAATAAAGGCGTTTAAACACTAGTTAAACCCTACCCGACACTCGTCGGTGAAATGTGATAACACCCGAAACCTTTGTTACGGTGACTATCACTGGACTACTAATCTGTACTGTATAACATTACAACAGACAACAAAATTACATTCAACTAACATACATAGACAAGAACTTTATTAGACAAAATTGTATGTGTGGTGGCGTCAATGATAAGGCGCTCATTAACTACAGCAAGCGGTGTCGCGTACACAACCGCCGCCGCATCGGTCAACGAATGCATCGCCGGAGAGTCACCGATCACATAAATTAACATAAATCTATACAAACAAATCATACACTCAAATACAATAAAGACAATACATGACCGACAGATTGCCGACAGTATTACATAATTATCGTAACATTTCTATTATCTCACATACGGTATTCAGTTAAATCTGGTCAGACATAACTATGTCGTCTCTGGAGTCAATTGACATCACCTATAGGTTTTTGGCCGTGATATTGTAAGAACAGTGCATATGTAACAACAATAAACTATTAGGTGTCCAAATATTTAATTATACCGGGTCAGTCAATCCCGAAGGTGACTATAGACTCATAAAGTTAAGGCAAACCTTAACTATACTCTCGGATCACTATTGAGGAGCGTATGTTAACGGTCTTAAACTCAGTGTCCGTTATCGGCTATTAACACACAATCACGCGATCGGATGACCGGAACCCTCTTGGGACCGTTGGCCAACCCAGTCAGTCGGTATCAGATAGTAACTATGCTTTTCCCAACTAAGTTAGCGAAAGCACATAAGTACTCGAGTAACCACTGCTATGCATTCACACACACATTCACTCAAACAGCCGATAATTACAACCATCAACAAAACTAGTGCTATTGTCACGTAGACAGCAACTAGTGGATCACCTAGTAAATTGTATTTTAAGGTCAGACTATTAGTGTTAAATAACACTGAGAACCGACAAAACTACAACTGTTTCACTAAAACGTAGGACTATTGCCGAAAAACCGGGCAGAGCCTTCGGCGGCCTGGTACAATCTCGGGGATGTCGGAGACTTCCATATGACACGTATAGTAGTCTATACCAACAATAACTAAGTATAGGTCAAAGGAGGTAAGGGAGGAGGACAGCGTAGCCGTACAGATCTCTCGACACGACAGATCCGTTAGCACACTGTCAATGGTAAAGGAATGACGGCATGACCGTACGAATTCACCGACACGGCGGATCCGTTTGGCCAACTATAATAGGGGAGGGTATAACGGCATGACCGTACAGATCTCTCGACACGACAGATCCGATGGTCAACCATCAAAAGGTAGGGTAGGGTAGGATTACATAACTGGACCAGATCCCCCGACACGGCGGACCCGACGGCCAGTCATCTTACCTTAATACTGTAGACAAGAAGGGACCTTTTCGATACTGGAGCTCCCGACGCGGGAACCCACGGATTTAGGTCGCTTAGAAAAAAAATAGGAGACAATAAATGGTAAAAACTTACATTAAATCCAAAAGGTTTTTATTGAAAAATGACATCAATACGAGGTATACATCCAAGTATACGGACCATATCAGAGAAGGGGTCGAACCAGAGGGGGAGAGAACTGATCTGCTAACGGCTCTTAGCAGTACTAGTCTTATGCCAATGACTACCAGTATCTCAAAGATAAAATCATTGAGAATACACGGGGTTTTATAGTCTCGGTCGCATCAATGTATTTTTTTAAAGGGAGGTAAGGAATAATTTTGTGATATGTTGGTGCGAAAACTGTTTCAATATAACACTATTTATGCTATGTTATGTAATGACATATATATAAAATTGGTAATTCTGGCACTGAATAGGGAAAATATTATATAGATTTATACTATGGTTGGGGAGAAAAAGTTGGATTTTTCGTTATACTAAAATGTTATATTTAGTATATTTGTGTGCAATTTTAATGTACATCGAAAAAATTTTCTTTGTTAGTAATTTTTTATATATATATATATATAAAGGGTATTATATAATAGATTTTATATTGACATCACTCTCTTCTCCCTGTAGATTCGACTCGAATCTCATGATATCTGTCCGCTTATAAAGATTAAAATTACAATTAAACATTAAAAACATCAATTATTAAATAGGATATAAAGTAAAATTGTTATAAATGTAATATAAATGTTATAATAAATATGTTTAAATATTCATTATATAATATTGATTAGAGTATAATATTAAGTTACACTAATAGGTGTTTATATTGGGAAATATTTATACAAATAAATGAATTGGTTATTTTAGTTTCGCATGTAATGTAATGTAAGTCACAAAATATATTAATAGATTATATAATAATATATTCATAGTTACGGTTATATAATAATATAAATTATATCAGAATAGTCTCATTAATTGTGATATTTATATATAGTAAATAGTATACTAGGAGTAAAATTATTGGATAATAAGTGTATATTATATAATTATAAAAGGGTAAAATTGTGTATACAATATTCAGATTATGTAAGTATATCGATTATTATAGTATTTGGTTGCAATAATTGGTTGACTATAAAGTTTGTTTTATATAATAAAAACATTGTTTATAAAGTTAAATAAGAAAGTTTAAATTATTAATTAAGTTTATTAAATAAGTCATTGATTATATCATCGGCTGCTATGTTATCATCTTCAGTAGGTATGGTTTAAAACGAATTAAATTCACCCAGTGTCCCAATATCCGAAATCGCCTTTGTTAGTGATGAATAGATAACTGAATCCGGTGATGCTTTCTTGATGTTGTTTTTGATGATTTCTTCAATTTTAGTTACTCCAACATCGTAGACGTACTGTCTAATCCATACCAGAGCGTCGATTGTGATGTCATCACCATAATTAAATGTAGAGACTTCCAGATGTAGAGGTTCTTGGATATCGGTCACATGATGTGATATCAAATGATCAATAATAATGCTTAAATCATTTATAATATAATGTTCAATAGAATGTCCATTTTTGTATTGACTAA